GCTGCATAGAAAGCTGTGTCACCTTTCAGCCCCGTCTCCCGTCCCTTTTCAGTTCATTTCTCAGTAGAACCAGATTTTTACAGAGTTTAACAGTATGTAACTATGGCTCTGAAGAAGTTTCTCTCCGTATGAGATATAGACTTGTAACAGAAGTCAGAAAGGATTAGGGACTTAACCTTGTGGGAATCTAGTACGCATCCAGTAGTGTTGATACACCTTTGGCATTGCCTGGGGAAGAGCAGTTACTGTGTCTATGTCTCAGGCAGCGGGGCGGGAGATGACCCAAGAAGAGAAGCTTCAGCTTCGGAAAGAAAAGAAACAGCAGAAGAAGAAGCGGAAGGAGGAAAAGGGGGCAGACCAAGACGCTGGCTCTACCGTATCTGCAGCTCAGCGGCAAGGTGCGGCGACTCTTTAAAGACCTGGGGTAGGACACTGGTTGAGGGATTTGGTGGGGAAGACAGAACAAAGTTGATCTGAGCAAGTACAGAAGAGATTATGTGGGAGGCAGAGACAAATGAGGCCAGCCTAGTCTACACAGTGAATTCCAGGCCAGCCAGTGATATATAAAGTGACAAAAAAAAAAAAAAAGGTGGTGGCGGGGAGAGGGATGGGGAGAACATTGGTTGGGACAGAGACCATCCTTAAGCTTGGACTTCTTCCTGTCTTTAGTAGACCCAACCAGAGAACTCCCAGGACCCGGTAGTCAGTCGGGAGGCACTGCTGGGGAGAAAGTTCCAGCTGGCCGGAGTAAGGCCGAACTTCGTGCTGAAAGGAGAGCCAAGCAGGAGGCAGAGCGGGCCCTGAAACAGGCAAGGAAAGGGGAACAAGAAGGGCCCCCTCCTCAGGCCTGCCCCAGTACAGCTGGAGAAGCCTCAGCAGGTATCTTCTTTTCTTGTTAAAACTCCAATTTCTCCAACTTCTTGTGCCAGCATGGACTCCCGTTCTTACCTTAGGAGACAGAGTTTGAACTTTTTCTGTTGACTCTTCCTGCTCCATCTTCCCAACTTATTAATTTCCTGCTGTCCCATATGCACTAAAAACACATGTCAAGGCCAGGCAGTGGTGGCTCACACCTTTAACTACAGCACTTGGGATCCTGGGGCTGGCAGATCTCAGTTCAAGCCCAGCCTGGTCTACAGAGTGAGTTCCAGGACAGTCAGGACTGTTACACAGAGAAACCCCGTCTCAAAAAACCAAAAATAAAATAAAACAAAAACAAAAAAAACATTCCATTAACTTCCAGGTGTGAAGCGCCTCCCGGAGCCCACCCAGGTCAACGACCCCTCACCTCCAAGGAGGCTTACTAGAAAGCCAGAGAGACAGCAGGTAGGGAGTGCCAAAGTACCCTAGCAAAGTAAAGGGCTGGAAACACCCTGAGCAGTGGGGTCAAAGAAGTGAGTTTACTTTCTTTCCAGCTCTGTCCCGGAAGTTTTGAACTCTGAACTATTGGTCACATTCCTTTGGTTTTGTCAAGGTTCCTACACGAAAGGATTATGGATCCAAAGTCAGTCTCTTCTCCCACCTACCCCAGTACAGCAGACAAAACTCCTTGACCCAGTACATGAGGTAGGATCTTAGGGAAATTGTTCTAAGTCTAGGAGGTTGAGGAACCCAGTGTTAAAAGTAGCTGGAAATTAGAGATGACGTGGGGGGGGGGGGTACAACTCAGGGTGAATCTACAAGAATCGGGGAGTCTGTACTAGTGAAGAGGGTTCCTTCTCATCAGGGGCATGGGGCAAGAGGCACTCAAGTTCCCTTAAAAAGTATGTGACACCACCATCCCATCAGCGTCCCATCCTCTGTGATCCACCCAGCCATGGTGCGACTCGGTCTGCAGTACTCCCAGGGCCTCATCAGTGGCTCCAATGCCCGGTGCATTGCACTCCTCCACGCCTTGCAGCAGGTATGTCCTGTTCTCTGTCTCTGCCTGACTCTGCAGGACTACCCAGCATGTCTCCCCAAAGTCATCTCTGGGGCAGAGAAGTAACAACTCACACGCTGAACACTTTCCTAATGAAGCTTGCCTCTGCCCCGTTTCAGAGACCTTCGTTAGGGGGCATTTTGCTGATCTGAGTGTGTATTCTTTAGGTGATTCAGGATTACACAACACCTCCCAGTGAGGAACTCTCCAGGGATCTTGTAAATAAACTAAAACCCTACATCAGGTGAGCACAGCCGTGCAGGGCCTTTATTTATGCCCATCATTATTTTCATCCTGCTGTTCTCTTTAAGTCCTAACCAGTTGCACAAACTTGAGGTATTGTTGTTGCAGCTTCCTGGCCCAGTGCCGCCCCCTGTCGGCAAGCATGTGCAACGCCATCAAGTTCCTTAACAAGGAAATCACTGGCATGAGCAGCTCCAAGCGGGAAGAGGAGGTGATGAAGGGTTCTGGGAACGGGAAAGGCATGTGCCTGTGGTTAGGATAAACAGCACATTCCAAACTCTCAAAAGACATGTGTTAGCATGCCACATGACCCTAGTCACTGCCTAGGGAAGTGACTTGCGCTCTTGGCATATTGGGGCCCAGTTCAGGCCCATTGTTATGTATTTATTCAAGCATATGGCATGATTTTTGCTTTGAGATAGTCTATGTAGTCTCGATTGTGTCCTGGATCTTGTTATATAGACCAAGTTGGCTCAGACTCAGGGATCCTTCTGCTTCCTGAGCAATGGGATCAAAGGTGTGTGCCACCATGCTCTCTTGACACTTAGGCCAAGTCAGAACTTAGAGAAGCCATCGATCGGTATATGCAAGAGAAGATCGTGCTTGCAGCTCAGGCAATTTCACGATTTGCTTCTAAGAAGATCAGTAATGGGGACGTGATCCTGGTATATGGATGGTATGGTCAACACCTGACTGAGAAAACTGGGGAGGGGAACGGTCAAGAGAAATGCCTGCCCCTTGCCTTTGCAAACAGGCTGGCCACCAGTTAGTCACACTTTTCTCCTCCATATCTAGCTCCTCTCTAGTGTCACGGATTCTTCAGGAAGCATGGGTTGAGGGTAAGCAGTTTCGAGTGGTGGTGGTGGACAGCCGGCCCCGACTTGAGGGAAGGCACATGCTCCGTTCTCTTGTCCGTGCTGGGGTCCCAACTTCCTACCTGCTGATTCCTGCAGCCTCCTATGTGCTCCCAGAGGTGAGGGTTCTCACAAAAAAGGAACTTTGAGGATAAAGGGAAAGAATGTAGTAATACAGGCATAATCTTTTATTCTTTTTTTTTTTTTTACATTTATTTATTATTCATTGTGAAGGAGTAGGGGAGTGAAGGATGTGAGGGTGGGGGTTGACAAAGGCAGAATGCTCTGGCTCCATGTGGAGTCAGAGAACACCTTTTGGAAGAGTCAGTTTTCTTTCCACCATTTACATCCTGAGGATAGAACTCAGATGGTCAGGGTCGGCAATGACTTCACCCATTGAGCCATCTCATAGCCCTTGCCTTTTTATTTTTTTTTATTTATTTTTTATTTTTTTTGATTTTTCAAGACAGGGTTTCTCTGTAGCTTTGGTTCCTGGGTTCCTGTCCTGGAACTAGCTCTTGTAGACCAGGCTGGCCTCGAACTCACAGAGATCCACCTGCCTCTGCCTCCCTTGCCTTTTTATTATTATGGCCTTGTTATATTATTATAATTATTGTTTTCTTGAGACAGGGTTTCTCATATAACCTATTTATTTATTTTGGAGACAGGGTCTCATTATGTAGTCCTGGCTGGCCTGGACTCAGAGCTCTGCTTGCCTTTGCCTCCCGAGTACTGGGATTGAAGGTATAAACCACCAAACCCAACATCTTTTATCCTTAATAGAAAAAAGCAACTAGCTGCCCTATATAACCTGGTAATCTCAGCACTTGGGAGGCAGAAGCAGGTAGATCTGAGTTCAAGACCAGCCTGGTCTACAGAGTTCCAGAACAGCCAGGACTACACAGAGAAACCCTGCCTTGAAAAACCAAAAAAAAGTAGGGGAGAGGGAGCTGGAGAGATGGCCCAGAGGTTAAGAGCACTGGCTCCGCTTCCAGAGGTCCTGAGTTCAATTCCCAGCAACCACATCGTGGCTCACAACCATCTGTAATGAGATCTGGTGCCCTCTTCTGGTGCGCAGGCAAAACACTGCATAAATAATAAGTAGATAGATAGATGATAGATAGATAAAAGAAAAATTCAACTGCTCCATGCAACAGCACAGTCTAGTTATTAGAAGAAATCCTATTAATATAGTAGCCACTAAAATGAACAGGGCAGTTTCCCTGTTCTGGGATGATACAAGATGGCAGGGTGTTCTCTAAGAGCAGCCAACATGGTTTGTTGCTTAGTGCTGCTGCTCTGCACAGTAGCAGGGGACCTTGTTATATACTGATAGAACATGACATTTTTTTCTTCCCTTTCCTCATTGTCTAAAACAAACAGGTTTCCAAGGTGCTATTGGGAGCTCACGCACTCCTGGCCAATGGATCTGTGATGTCTCGGGTAGGGACAGCACAGTTGGCCCTCGTAGCTCGAGCACATAATGTTCCAGTACTGGTCTGCTGTGAAACATACAAGTTCTGTGAACGTGTGCAGACTGATGCCTTTGTCTCTAACGAGCTAGGTGAGTAGAGTAGAACTGAGGTTTTCAGGGACCGGAGAAGCCTTGAGGGGGAGGGAAAGTTAAACCGTGCCACTTCTCTTCATGGCAGATGACCCCGATGATCTACAGTGTAAGCGGGGAGAACAGGCGGTCTTGGCGAACTGGCAGAACCATCCATCGCTCCGGTTATTGAATCTGGTCTATGACGTGACTCCCCCTGAGCTCGTGGATCTGGTGATCACAGAACTGGGCATGATCCCTTGTAGCTCTGTGCCTGTTGTCCTTCGAGTCAAGAGCAGTGACCAGTGAAAGGGAGCAAGGGCCAATAAAAACTTACCCGATCGCCATAACTCTACTGGCTTTGTATTTCTTTGAGCATCTCTACCTCTGGCCCTGCAACCCCTCATCATCCACTGTGAAGCTCTCTGTGGAAACCCTTCTCGGGTGGTGAGCTCCAGGCCGGTGCTGGGAGCATGATGGTTCATGTAGGCATCAAATGTATTCACAGGCCAGGCATGGTGGCACAGGCAGAGCTTTCCTTAATCCCGGATGGGGTGGCCAGTCTCTGTAAAACCAAAGGCCAGCCTGGTCTACATGTGAGTTCCAGGCTAGCTAGTGTCACAAAATGAAACCTTGTTTCAAAAACAACTACTAGGGCTGCAGAAGTGGCTCACTGACTAATTTCCAGAGGACCTGTGTTCAACTCAGCATCCATAGTGGCTCTCGTCTATCTGTACCTCCAGTTCCAGAACATCCAACACCCTCTTCTGACCTCAGGTGTGCATATGGTGCCCATACACAGACAATGGGAACACACATAAAATAACAGCTGGACATGGTAGTGCACGTCTTTAATCCCAGCATTCAGGAGGCAAATGCAAGAAGAGCTTGAGGTCAGCAAAATTCCAGGACTACGTAAAGAAACTAAACCTCAAAAATAAAAACCTAAATATATTTATAATTTTTTTAAAAGATTTATTTATTTATTTTGTATACAGCATTCTGCCTCCATGTATGCCCGCACGCCAGAAGAGGGCACCAGATCTCATTACAGATGGTTGTGAGCCACCTTGTGGTTGCTGGGAATTGAACTCAGGACCTCTGGAAGAGCAGCCAGTGCTCTTAACCTCTGAGCCATCTCTCCAGCCCCTATAATATTTTTTTTAGATTTTATCTATATAGTGTTTTGCCTGCATGTATGCCTGCCGTCCAGAAGAGGACACCAGATCTTATTATAGATGGTTGTGAGCCACCATGTGGTTGCTGGAAATTGAACACAGGACTTCTGGAAGGGCAGCCAGTGCTCTTAACTGCTGAGCCATCTCTCCAGCCCCTTAAATAATTTTTAAAAAAACTATTTTTTAAACAAATAAAAAATTATTTGTGCCAGGCAATGGTGACACACACCTTTAATCCCAGCACTTGGGAGGCAGAGGTAGGTGGATCTCAGTGAGTTCGAGGACAGCCAGGACTGTTACAAAGAAACTCTGTCTTGAAAAACCAAAACCAAAAATAAAATAAAAACAAAAATTTTTAAAAGGCTGGTTTTGATGGCTAACACTGGTGGGATTTGCTGAAGGAGGTAAAGGCAAGAGGATCACAAGTTCAAGGCCAGCCTGAGCTACACATTTACCCAGCATTGGAGAGGCAGGGGAAGGCTAACCTCTGTGAATCCAAAGCCAGCCTGGTCTACAGAGTGAGTTCCAGGACAGCCAGGGCTACACAGAGAAAGCCTGTATCTAAACACATCTTTCTGACTCTTAAAGGTGAGGAAAGGGAGTCACAGAGAAGTTAGGTTACTCAGCCAAGACCACTCAGCTGAGGCACAAAGAACTCACTTAACACAGTTGCTCATGTGGTCACAAGCAGTCTGAATCCAAATCTATAAGTTTGTTTTGTTTTGGCCAGGGTTTTATGAAGCCTAGGGCTGTGGACAAGGACAACCTTGTGCCTGAAGTGACACACCTTAAATCCCATCAATCAGGTAGCAGATTTCTGAATCTGTGACCAGTCTGGGCTACATAGTTAGATCCTAGCTACAAAATTATTTTAAAATAAAGTTATAAGTCATTGTTTGCTTCCTGAAACAAAGCAATATGAAGTACCTTGACCCATTTAGGGGTTGCTACCATAAGGCAGATATGAAATTACCGGGCCTAAAGAAATGACTTAAGTGACACCACTTAACTTTCTGAGACATTGTTGGTTGGCTCTGATACCAGGAATGTAGCTCATAACTATCTACGTCCAGTTTCAGGGAATCTGATGCCCTTAGAACTCCACAGGCACCTGCACATGTGGGCAAAAAAAACTCACATAGGCATAAGCACATACACATAAAAATAATTTTAAAAAAGATTGTGGTTGTTTTTTTTTTCTTTTTGGTTTTTCTGGGGGGCTCACCATCCAGCTCCCAAATAAATCCACATGGAATCTTATTATTACTGATAAATGCCCAGCCTTAGCTTGGCTTGTTTCTAGTCAGTTTTTCTTAAATTATTTCATCTACCTTTTGTCCCTGGCCTTTTATCTTTCTCTATTTAATTTTCCTCCTTATTCTGTGTCTGGTTACGTAGCTGGATGGCTGGCCCTAGCATCCTTGTTATGCCCACATTATGAGCCCCTAAGAGACCACCAGGAGTCCAAGTTTGTCTGCAAAAGCAAAGAGCCTTCACTGCAAACTCGAGCTTGAACTCTCCGGCTGTCCTTTCTGACGCAGCGACTGGATTAGAGAGCCCTGAGCTGAGCCATGGCAGGGTTTTTAAGGAGTAAAGAATGGGGGGACAGGGGAAATCTGGATTCAAATGGGGGTTGAACTTCTGATTGGGCAGGAGTGAGGTAACAGAAATTTTGCCAAACAGGGATTGGTACTGGTTTTGTTGCAAGGAAATTGGCAATCTATATATAGATTATGTAAATTATCTTTAATGTTCTAGAGCATTTAGTACTTGTTTGTCTCAATTCTGATTGGTCTCCCACAGGGTACAGTTTGTGGCTTTTCCTGGTTATTGTAAGGGTGAGGTCTAGTCCCAGTATAGTTAGTTTGCAGCCTATCATAGCTGCACTAATGTTAAGTTAGATCTCTTCACCCTTCTCCTAGTTTTCTTGCTCCTTTATCCTCCTCATTCCAGATTTCTCTTCCTGTTTTATTCTGATTGCCAGCTCTGCCAATCCTTTCTCCTGCCTTGCTATTGGCCATTCAGCTCTTTATTAGACCAATCAGGTGTTTTAGTCAGGTAAAATAACACAGCTTCACAAATACAATATAAAAGAATGTAATGCATCTTTGCATCACTAAAATAAATGTTCCACAGCATAAGCAATTGTAACACATCTGAAAATATTCCATAACAAAAGGTGTTGGCTTAAATCACGCCTTCCAAGTGCTGGGAATTGTGGGCTGAGACACAATGCCTGGTTCTGCTTTCATGGCCCTCAGGTTAAAGGACAGTGTAGGAAGGCAGAGGAGCTATCTTCACTGTGAGCTCAAGGCAACACAAATGAGCCCCTTGAACGATGTGACTGGCTCTACCTAGCACAGTTGTCTTCAATGGGGACACATGATGTAGTCCTTGGAAAATCCTTTCTCAGTAAAAGAACCAGGAGGCAGATCAGCAGAGGAAATAGCTTTGTGTGAAAAAACAGTTCTTGCTGGGTGGTGGTGGCGGCAGCGAAGCCTTTAATCCCAGCACTTGGGAGGCAGAGGCAGGCGGATCTCTGTGAGTTCGAGGCCAGACTGGTCTACAAGAGCTAGTTCCAGGACAGGAACCCAGGAACCAAAGCTACAGAGAAACCCTGTCTTTAAAAAAAAAAAAAAAAAAAGCCGGGCGGTGGTGGCGCATGCCTTTAATCCCAGCACTCGGGAGGCAGAGGCAGGCGGATCTCTGTGAGTTCGAGACCAGCCTGGTCTACGAGCTAGTTCCAGGACAGGCTCCAAAGCCACAGAGAAACCCTGTCTCGAAAAACCAAAAAAAAAAAAAAAAAAAAACCACGAACAAAAAAAAGAAAGAAAGAAAAAACAGGACTAGCCCGTTGCAGAGTAAGTTCAGTGATGTTCACAGATAAAGCTATAAAGGTGGACTGAGGCTTTAGTGAGAGCCAAGAGATCCTGAGCCTTGGAATAGAAATCATCTGTAAAGGTGTTTTTTGTTTGTTTGTTTTTTAGGACAGCGGTCTTGCTGGAATTCACTATGTAGACTAGGCTGGCCTCAAACTCACAGAAATCCACCTTCTTCTGTCTCCCAGAGCACTGGGACTAACGGGGTGTGCCGCCACCACCACCCAGGTATTTTATTTCTACATAGGACAAAGGGAGAGTAAACTGTGTGAGAATACTTATCTTTAGATGCAACAATTATCAAAACTTGCCATTTTTTGTTTCCTTTGACACAAGGTTTCACAACGGTGAACTGTATAGCTGGTGCTGGCCTTGAACTCAAGCTCCTCCCACTGCCATTTCCTGAGGGCTGAAATATGCCACACTTTAGTTTTTATTATATTGAACTGTGGAGGGGTACACAGAGATGGCAGTCAAATGACAACTTCGTCTCCCCAGTCCTTATTTTTTTCCCTTGCTGAAGTTATTGTAAAGAAAATTCCAGACATTGATCATTTTCATTATTGCAGACTTCAGCGTGTCTCCTAAAAATACACTTCATGCCAGGCAGTAGTGGTGCAAGCCTTTAATGCCAGCACTCGGGAGGCAGAGACGGGCCTATGAGTTCAAGGCCAGCCTGGTCTACAGAGCAATTTCCAGGACAGGCTCCAAAGCTACACAGAGAAACCCTGTCTCAAAAAACCAAAAATAAATAAATAAATGTAAATAAATAAATAAATACAGTTCACACATACTAAATAATGCTTCCTTAGGATTATCTAATCCAAAATCAAATGTTCAGGTTGACTCAAAATTAGCTTTTTAAAATATTTTTATTTTAAAAATATTTTAATATTTATTATATATACTGTATTACGCCTGCAGGCCAGAAGGGGACACCAGATCTCATTACAGATGGTTGTGAGCCACCATGTGGTTGCTGGGAATTGAACTCAGGACCTCCAGAAGAACAGTCAGTGCTCTTAACCACTGAGCTATCTCTCCAGACCTCAAAATTGGCTTGTTACAGTAGGTTACTCTGAATCAGAGCCCGAACAAATCCATATACCTTATTATTATATTTCAAAAAGCAAGGCTGGGATGTGGCTCAGTAGGAGAGCATCTCACCTGTCTAGTCCGTAGATCTTAGGGTTCCGGCTTTTGCACTCAACAGAAACATTTCTTTCCGAGTGACCTCTTTTCTTTTAAAGTGATGTCACTTACGTTGTTTCTCTTAAGCCTTGTGATTTTCTAGTCACCTTTTTGGCAGTGATACCTAAACGGATAGAAGTATTTCATATTACTTTGTATCTGCAAGCAAACAATGATTTGTGACTTTATTTTTAGTGATAAATGTGGCCTGACATTTTAAGGTTCCCCTGAACCTTTTATTTAGTGGTTTTATCCAAATGCTAATGAATAGTAATTTCACCAGAATATAAAAGTGTCTTTTTTCTAACTCTCACACATTCTGTATTTAGCAATGACAATCATTTTAAAGAGTGTGGAGACATGTGCCTGTATTCCAGCCCGGGGAAGGCTGAGGTAGCAGAATCACGAATTTGTGGACAGCACCGGCTGTTATTTAGCAAGAGAGCCTACTCAAAAAGGAAGTGGGTGGGGAGTAAGACCCTCACATCAGTTTGTTTTTCTAAACTCTAAATCGTACTGGAAAGGCAAGATAAACACTTAATTGGTCCCTGTGTGTTCTGGGTTTTTTTCCCCCCAGACAGGATCTTGTCATGTAACCCAAGCTACCCTTAAACCTATCTTGGCCATCTGAGGGGTAAGCCTACAGGCTCTTGACTACGAGTGGAGTCTTTACTTTTAGGTCAGTATAAGCTGGTGGGCTTGCCGGGCGGTGGTGGCGCACGCCTTTAATCCCAGCACTTGGGAGGCAGAGGCAGGCGGATCTCTGTGAGTTCGAGACCAGCCTGGTCTACAGAGCTAGTTCCAGGACAGGTTCCAAAGCCACAGAGAAACCCTGTCTCGAAAACCCGAAAAAAAAAAAAAAAAAAAAAAAAAAAAAGCTGGTGGGCTTTTTGAATGTACCACTCAGTCACTAAATTTAAGCAAATCAACAAGGTCAACCTCATGCTCAGAAAGGTAACTATTAAGAAATTAGAGACGTAGCTGGGCGGTGGTGGCGCATACCTTGGGCGGTAGTGGTGCATACCTTTAGTCCCAGCACTTGGGAGGTAGAGGCAGGCAGATCTGTTAGTTCAAGGCCAGCTTGGTCTACAGAGTAAGTTCCAAGACACCGACGGCTACAAAGGCTACCTTTGTCCCAAAACCAAAACGAAACAAAACAAAAAAGCACCAGACCCAAACAAAACCAACCAACCAAACAAACAAAAAAGACATTAGACCAAGACACAGAACACTCAACAAAATACTTTTCAATGAAAACTACAGATGTGCCTACCTATAACATTGAGCCAGCAACTCAGCTTTGAGGCATTCATCCTAGCCACAGAGTAGCATGTCTGAAGTAACTTAGACATGAATTATAGCAACAATGCAACACCATCAAAAAAACAGAGACCACACAAATAAATACTCAGCAGTAACAGTAAATAACAAAATAGTTAACTACACAGTTACCCACTCAGTAACTAACTGCATATAGTTACATGCTAAGCAGGCACATAGAATAAGGAAGATTTTCATACAGATATGGAATATACGAGTATACGCAGTTAAAAGTAGCCAGATAGGGGCTGGAGAGCTATCTCAGTGGTTAAGGGTGCTTGCTGTTCTTCAAGGGGACCAGAATTTGATTTCCAGCACCCATATTAGATGGCTCATAGCTACCTGTTAATTCCAGCACCAGGGACCTAACATACCCTTCTGGCCTCCAAAGGCATCGACATGAATGTGTACATACGCTATTCCACATAAATAAGAAAGCAGTGGTCTGTTTTGTTGAGACAAACTGGGTATGGAGGTTTGTGCTTATACTGAGAGCACTTAGGAGGCTGAGGCAGGTCCGTGGTTAGCTCCAGGGCACTTAGGGTAAAGGTATGAGATTGAGAAAGAATGTAATCTGAGCATAAACACAATCTACAATGAGAAAGGGGTTAACTGCCCCTGGGTTAGTGAAGTTTGAAAATAGTCTTGATGCCCTTGGTGTCTTGAACTCTGAGCTACAAAGCATCTTTTTTTTTTTTTCAAAAGTAAAGCCATTAATTTTGTGACAAAATGAAAGGGAACTTAATCACAGGCAGGAAGATTTTTGTTTTGTTGTTTGGGTTTTTCTTTCGAGACAGAGTTTCTCTGCACATCCCTGGCTGTAGACCAAGCTGGCCTTGGTCTCCCTCCCAGTTCAGGGATTATAGCCACGCACCACCACCCAGCCAGAGGTAGGAGTTTAAGAGATTGTGTTCGTTACAGAAGTAAATCTGTAACTCCCTACACAATGTTGAGGAGCCAGTACCTAAAGGAGGGGAGAGAAGACATCTATTCAAAATGCTGCCTCTGGGCATAAGGGGACAGGAGAGAACTGGGTGTCCCCTTTCTTTCCTCCCATAGGTTTTGGCTAACTCCATACTTTGGTTTTAAGTGTCAGGGTTAACCAAGTAGGGCCTTAAGTCCTGGACTCAAGAGATCTTTCTGCTTCAGCTTTGAGTACCTAAGGACTACAAGGGAGAGCAAGCATACCCCAGTTTCCCCTTATTTATTTTTTCATTTTTTTCTGAGACAAGGCTGCTTCCAACTTCTTGGTCCAGGATGACCTCGAACTGCTGATCTTTGGCCTCCACCTTCCCAGTGATGCGATTATAGCTGTGCACCATTATACCGACTCCTACACTTCTCCTAAATGTTTAATCAAGAGAATTAATGGACAAGCGTATTTGGAAAAGGAAAGACTGGCTTATTCCACCCCTTCCTGTTCATTTTTTTTTCACCCTCCTCCTCCGCACAGGTATGGGCAGACCTGGAAAATTTATCTGGTTTTAAATGGTTCAGGAAAACTTGTTGCACTTGTTTCCTCCATCATGGGCTACCTCCGGAGACGGGAGGCCTGGCAGTCGGGCTGACGAGCTCTTTAGGAGCGCAGCGTACCCACCAAGACTAGGCTCCCCCCGCTTCCTTTTCTTGGCCTCTTTCCAAGCCCTATTTTTCTTCCTGTCTCTGCTCATTCACTTAGCAGCAGAAAATCAGTAGCTCCTCTCCTAGTCCGTCGAAGCTCGGGGTTGCCGTTAAGCAGCAGTGTGGTCTGGCTCTGTTCGCCACAGCCTGAGTAATGGCAGCTCGGAACGCTGGGCGACAGCTAAAGCGCGACAACCTCACCTTCAAAGCTTTTCAGCAAGGCCGCTGGGGAAGCCACGGTGCCGCGCAGGCGCCGACCTCCCCTTCCGGTTGCTGAAATTCCCAGAAGGCTCTGCAGTGTCCCAGGGCCGCGGAAGCCAGGCTCCAGCTCGCGGGCATCGGAGGGCTCAGCGCTGCGCCGCGCTGCATTATGGAACACAGAGTTTAGTAGAAAACTCGGGAGGGAACGCACTCCCGACCGAGCTTGCGTTTACCTTGTGCCGGGGGCGGGGCAAGGAAGAGCCGCTCCAGGTTTCGTCATAAAACCGCGACCCGACAGGCGGCGCCATCTTCGAACTTGGACTTCCGGAAGGACTTTGGCGCGGGTGAGTGTACCGCAACGGGGTGTGCGGGGGACCTAGAAATACTCCTCCCCTTCTTTTGCCGTAGCGCTAAGGCACTGGGAACCGGTTCCCGATTCCGCTCTGATCCTCGCGCAACGGAGCGCGCCTCCCAGCCTCCGCGCGTCCCCGGAAAACCGTCGAGCTCTCACCTCAATCCCCACTGTGGCCACTGAGCATCCCCCATCCCTGCCAGCCTCTCTTCCCCCATGCAGTGCGTGCAGCGCAGTAAGCTGGCTCCAGGCTTCCGCGCTGCTTACGTTGCTCCCCTTGGACTCGGTGAACCCGCTGTTGTCCTCAGGCCGAGGGAAATCAGGCTCGCCTGTGGAGAAAGCTGCCCCCACGGCCAGGATTGGGGAATGGCAGGTGGTGGCGTCTAGACTGATTGCAGTCAGTCCCCCTCGTTGTGCTCAGTCCCCTCTTATTGTGTCCCAGCCTTTTTCTTCCCAGTGGCTCTAACCCCGGGGGTTGTGCCCCGCGCGCTGCAACCCCATTGGCGCAGCCACGGGCCAGTTATGTTTCCTTGTCTGGGCTTTTTATCCCGCGGCAAGTTGGCCGTCGGCTGGGCAAGACAGAGATGGCAGCCTCACCCCCTCAGGAGGTAATTCACTTTGCTGGAGAGGTTTAGGATATAATCAGATAAGTTTGCCCTTGGGGGCATATTGTTATATAAATTTAAACAATCTTTTGCTGGCGTTGCCTTTTACCGGTTTCACCTGTGGTGCCGTTTTCTTACGAGTTTTAAATTGTTCTTTTCAAGTTTACACTCCTTAGTCTCTAGCAGTATAAACTGAGTAACGTGAGTTGCAGATTTCTGTGCAGGTTAAAATAAAAATGCAGCTAAATGAAAGTGTTCATTTGTGTACCCGTAAAATTAATTATCTGATATGTCACTAGTTGTATGATAGAAATACTTTGGGGAACAGTGTATGTGAAAAGTGATTCCATGTTTATGATGTAGTGGTTATCTAATTGTTTTTCTTTTACCCAAGTAGTCAGGTTAGCAGCCTGAAGCAGCAAGGAAAGCAGACAATTTGGGAATGTAAAAATTCTTAACTAGAGTGGTGGCGCACGCCTTTAATCCCAGCACTTGGGAGGCAGAGGCAGGCGGATCTTTGTGAGTTCGAGACCAGCCTGGTCTACAAGAGCTAGTTCCAGGACAGGCTCCAAAACCACAGAGAAACCCTGTCTCGAAAAACCAAAAAAAAAAAAAAAAAAAAAAAAAAAAAAAAAAAAAAAAAAAAAAAAAAATTCTTAACTAGAATTTACTGAACAGTTCTTCCTTTACTGCCTGTCCAAAATTTGTGTTGTAAACTCCTTAGTAGAAATTACACCACTCAGCAAGCATTGGACCCATTTTTGCCTTTAATCCCAGCACTCTGGAAGCAAAGGCAGGATCTCTGTGAATTCAAGGCCAGCCTGGTCAATTAGAGCTAGTTTCAGGATAGTCAGGGCTACACAGAGAAACCCTATCTCAAAACAAACAAATGAAAAAATAAATTAAACCACTCATTGCCACTTCCTTTCATAAGAAGTGAGTCTTCTAAAGGATGTTTTTGTATGTTGAACCACCTGGTGAAAAAGTTATGAGCTAATTGTTGTATTTGCCGTGCATCAGATTTGAATATTGAAGTAAATCAGGCAAGCAACAAGTGCTCTATACAAACTTTCAAGGAAGATAGATTTTGTCTTATTCACTACAACCAGGATATTGTTTTTTGTTGTTGTTCATTTTGCAAGGCCTTTGTTTTAGACAGGTTTTTATTCCAGGTTGGCCTTGAACACCAAATCCTTTAGCTTTAACTCCTTAGGGCTGAGATTATAAGTATTCACCATCATGGCCAACTGAAACTTTAAAATTTGAAATTAGAATCTGTTTCATAAATATAGTTACCACAGTTACTTAATTTCAATTTACCGTGTCTGTTGTAAATACTGGCAGTCTTTCGACATCACAGCTTCTCTATCAGAAAATCTTCCTCCCTCCCTTCTTCCTTCCCTCCCTTCTTCCTTCCCTCCCTTTCTGTTCTGGGGATTGAATCCAGGGCTTTGGGGGGTGCTAGGCAAGTGCTTTATCCCCGAACTGCTTGTCTAGCTCATAGGAAAGAATTTTATGCTATTGCCTTTACATGAATGACTTCCAGCTTAGTAAAGACTTTTTCTCAAGCCTTTCTTTATTTTCTGACTTGAAGTATTTTTTTTTTTTTTTTGAGAACTCTGAAGTGGGCCTGATGCTGTTTCCTCTATAAGAGATGAGATGTACATAGATGTACTTTTTGAAATTTAGCGTTGTCACTCAAATATTTTTGGTCTTAATAACCTTTTTTTGTTTTATTTTGTTTTGTTTTTTTAACAGGGTTTTTCTGTGTCATAGCCCTAGCTGTCCTGGCACTAGCTCTTGTAGACCAGGCTGGCCTTGAACTCACAGAAATCTACCTGTCTCTGCCTCCCAAGTGCTGGCATTAAAGGTGCGCACCACCACCATCTGACTCAGGTCTTGATAATTCTTTATTGATCATGTTTTTGTTTTGCACAGTAAGCCATTTATTTATTTTACATGTGTGGGTGCTTTGCCTGCCTGTATGTTTGTGTACCACTGGAATTTTGGTTGATTGTGAGCCACCACATGGGTCCTGGCAACCAAATCCGGGTCCTCTGCAAGAGCAGCAAGTGCTCTTAACTGCTGAACCATCTCTCCAGCCTCCGACTCCTCACCCACGCCTTCTTGATCTATAAATTGATGCCTTCCTTGTTTCAGTATTTGGAGTGGGGAGAGTTTGAGAGGGCACAGGGTCTTACTGTATCCCTGATGGTCTGGAAGCCTCTATCCTCTTGACTATGCTACCTTCTGCTGATGGGATTACAGGTGCCAACCACCAGTCCTCCCTCTCTTCTATTAATTTTTTTTTTGTTTAATTTAGGGTCTTAACTATATTAATGTAAACCAAGATGGCCTTGGATTATAAGTATTATATGCCCTTACATTTGCCTTCTTTCTTAAAACCTAAATTATTTAAACCAGGGATGGTGGAGCACACCTTTAATTCCGACAGAGGCAGGCAAATTTTGTCAGTTCAAAGCCAGGCTGTGCAACATAATGAAACCTTGTTTCAAAAACAACAGCAAAGCCATAAATTACTAGTTGTTAACCCCTCACCTCTCCTCCATTTATGTCATTTTTTTGTCACTAACTCTTTTTCCCTCTCTGCAATCTGTGGCTTTTATCAAACCTGCCCTTCATCTCACTTTTTAGCAGTATAGTTTTAATTTGCTGTTTCTCTTCCTGTGTATATAATTTCCAAGAACCTTTTTTTTTTTTTTTTTTTTTTTGGTTTTTCGAGACAGGGTTTCTCCGTAGCTTTTTTGGTTCCTGTCCTGGAACTAGCTCTTGTAGACCAGGCTGGCCTTGAACTCACAGAGATCCGCCTGCCTCTGCCTCCCGAGTGCTAGGATTAAAGGCATGCCCCACCACCGCCCAGCAAGAACTTATTTTTTACATAATTCCTTTCCCTGTGGCTGACCATTTACTCAAACCACGTTGCCATTGTTTTCTCTTGTTTCCTAGATCCTGTAGTTTTTGTGTTTGCTGAAAATTTTCTTCTGTTTTCTGGAATAGTTCTTTTGAAAGGTACTTTTCAACTTTTTTTCTTTCTGTCCTGTCTGTGTATAGATCCTACATTGGATTCTTTTTTTACTTATTCCTAGTTTTGAATGAGATACAGGTCTTCAAAGAGTAGCGCTACCATACGCAGCTTATGAGGTTGCATTGTGTCCTCACACATGGGTTAGAGATTTACTGCTGCCATTGCTGGAGCTACTCGTAAGGAGGGGTGGGGGCCTGAGCGTATATTTTTCTTTTAGAATTTATGTGAGCACACTTTTCCATTGAGGCTGATGAATTCTTTATCTTTTGTCTTAACCTATGGAGGGTTCCCTTCTCGGATTTGAACTATTTCTGCCTCTTGTCAAAGGCAAACAGGTTGCCCTTACCAGAATCTAGATCCTTACAAAGTTGTATTTGGCCAATTTTTTTGTTTGTGGTCAATGTTTCACTTCTGCCAATCTCCTTGGTCTGTGGTTATCTATCTGATTTTTCTGGGTTCATAAAGATTTGGGACACTTTAGTCTATTTTTTGATGTGAGGAAGTTCTTTTAAGTGATAGGATGATTTTTAATTATATTCTGGCCAGTAGACACCTCCTCTCCCCAATTCAAATGTACATTGATGGCTAGATTCCAGAAAACTAACTCTCTTTCGTCATGATCTCATGTAGCCCAGGCTAGCCGTGAACTTCTGCCTCCAATCCCCCAAGTGCTAGGATTTCATAATGTGCTGTCCCACTTAGTTCAGTACTACTCTTATTCTTAAGGAAATCTGTCCCTTTACTGAATATTCACAGAAATGGATGTTGCCTCTGGGTACCTACATTCGTTTGGTGTCAGTTTTATAGTATCTGGCAACTCTGTATATTTAATCATTACGAGACTTGCTGTGTTATATCCCAAGCTGGTCCCAGATTCCTTTTGCTTCAGTTTTCATAGTAGCCAGGACTTTGCTCTGCACCATCACACCTGCTTGGGAGCTGTTATTTAGTCTATTTTTTAGAAAGTTACAGTTCTTCCCTAGAGGTGCATAATTTTTATCTCCTTTTCCCTTTGGTGGGGAATCTGAATATGATTTATTTTATTATTTTTAGTAAGAACTAAGTTAATTGAATATTCACTTCCATATCCTTATGAAGATATATGAGGCTTAAGTAATGTTCATAAAGTATAATGTTTGGTATATAGTAAGCAGTTAATAAACAGTAGCTTATTATTGTTTACTTATTGTCTGCTACATGAGAATGTAAATCTCAAGAAGGTAGCATCTTGCCTGTCTTCTGTTGTTTTTTTTTTTTTTTTCTTTTTTTCTTTTCTGAAACAGGGGCTTGTGTAGCCCAGGCTAATCTCAAAATCAAAGCACCTCTCCTGCCTCGGCTTTCAGGGAGCTGGGGTTACAGGTGTGCACTACTATGTTCAGCTCCTTGTTTGTCTTGTCATTTACTAGTTCCTAAAACAATGCTTAACATAATAGTTGTGTGTTTGGGGGTGCATTTATTTATTTGTTGAGGGGGGCACACGTGAGAATGTGGAAGTCAGAATACAACTTGGACAAGTTGGTTTTCTCCTTACAGCATGCCATGTGGATCGGGGGATTGAACTCAAGTCATCAGACTTGGCAGCAAGCACCTTAACCTACTAAGTCATCTTACCTCCCTAGTAGTTGTTTGAATGAGTGAATGATTGATCTGGATGCTTGGTTCTGGTTGTGGGATGAAGGGAAAGGGAAAAATCTGAGCCTCTACAAATAGCTTCAGTGTTCCACTCATTGTTGTATCTCTGTATGCAGGGCAGCCATTTTGGGGGGTGCTGATGGATACCTGCGGGGTCGGCTATGTTGCCCTGGGGGAGGCCGACCCCGTGGGGAACATGATTGTGGTAGACTCTCCTGGACAAGAAGAACTAAACCAGCTGGATGTCAAGGCCTCCTCAGAAACATCCAGTGTGGAGACTTCCATCGAGATGTCACTGCCTACTCCTTTGCCCGGGTTTGAGGATTCTTCTGACAAGAGGCTTCCTCCAGAGCAGGAAAACCTCACCAGGTTGGAACAGCAAGGTATGTGCCTGGCCCTTGCTCTTCTTGTCTTTCTATGCTTAGCATGCTAAGCTCATGGGTTCTTACAAACTTGGGTACCATATACTGTACTCCAAAGAACCTTGAGCTCTGATCCCATCTCATAGACCATGTTCTTCTCTACAGATCTTCCTTCAGAGATGTCAAAGGTCTCAAACCCTAGGGCCTCAAAGCCTTCCGGGAGGAGAGGTGGTAGGACACCAAGAGGCCCTAAAAGGTCTCAGCAGCGTAAACCTCCATCCACCCCTCTGGTTCCTGGTCTCTTAGATCAGTCCAACCCTCTGTCTACCCCCATGCCTAAGAAACGAAGTCAAAAGTCCAAGGGAGACCTGCTACTTCTGAAGTTGTCCAAAGGCCTAGATCAGCCAGAGTCTCCACATCCAAAGAGGCCCCCTGAGGACTTTGAGACCCCTTCTGGGGAACGACCCCGCCGAAGGGCTGCCCAAGTGTAAGGATTCTGGGGCACAGCCTGGTGGAGGGATGGTGGTGGAAGGGGAGGGTAGGGCAGATGTTGAAGAGATGGGAAGACTGGTGAGGTGTCAGGTAAGTAGGGGTGGTGTCTGGGTTCTGGGTGGGGCAGCCCTTTAGCTCTTACAGCCACTTTTGTGGTATGTGTTGCTAACTTTTGTATCTAAGTGATTTCTTTCTGTATCTCATACTCCATCACATTTTTTGTTTGTTTTGTTTTTGTTTTGAGACAGGGTGTCGCTGCCTAACCCAGGTTGGCCTCGAACTTGCGATCCTCCCACCTCAGCCTCCCGAGTGCTGGGATTGCAGGCGTGCGCCACCACACCTGGCTCTCCATCACATTTTTCACAGACTTCCCCCAGGTCTTCATTGCTTTTACCACTCAATATATTTCAGTGTTTATGTGCCTTTCCTTCTTTCCCTTGCCCTTCATGTTCTATGTGGTAGAGTAAAGAATGTATTGGCCTAGAATTAGAAAACCTAAACTCATATTCCTTGGTATCTGGCTTGCCTGTGCCAAATCACTTAATTTCCTGGATTTCTGTTTCTGCTTCTGTTGGAGGGAAGGGGAAACTGGCAGCTGCTTCCCAGCATTTCTGAGATCAGTAAAATAATAATAAAGTCTGGAAATGTGGGCTCTGTTCAGTGCTTGTGAGCATGGCTCTGACTCCACCCTGTCCCACAGGGCACTTCTGTACCTTCAGGAACTGGCTGAAGAGCTCTCAACAGCCCTGCCTGCTCCGCTGTCAGGTCCTAAGAGTCCCAAGGTGAGCAGCCCCACCAAGCCGAAGAAGACCCGGCAAGCAACCTCTCAGGGTGATGAAGACGGCAGCGCTCGGGATGAAGACTTTGTTCTTCAGGTCGAGGGTGAAGATGAGGAAGAAAGTGAGGCCCCAAGTGAGAACTCATCTGATCCTGAGCCTGTTGCACCCCGAAGCACCCCACGAGGACCCACTGCAGGGGTAACTTGAGTTGATGCAAAAGTATGGGGAAATGAGAATTTTAGGAAGCATCGAGTACCCAAGAGAATGCCTTTGCTCTTTCATAGCCAAAACTAGTACCAAAAGAGAGAAAGACTTCAAAAATGTGATGTATTGGGGAGGTTATAGGGGAAGAACACAGTGAATAAGATGGTTCACGCCAGAGTGTTTCCTGCTAGAAAAGGATCCTGCTTCTCTATTGAATGCTACAGAATGACTTAGAGATGGGGGAGGGGAACTGACTGCACAAATTTCACAGAGGGACGACACTTGAGCTGGGCCTTGAAGGGCAAGTACAGGTTTCCAGGGGCGGTGGTGCTTCCCCAGAAGGTGATTGCAGCAGATGAGCAGGGTCTGGGTGAATGATGTTGTAGGGAGGATGGAAGAGCTTGCACTAGTACGCGCCAACACATGCTGGTTTTGACTGAGATAGAAATACATAACATAAACTTACACATATCTATACTGTTGTGTAGCTCTCATTACCCGCCATGTCTGGAACTTTTTATTCTTTGTGGTACTGGGGATTGAACCCAAGCACTCACATATGTTAGGCAAGTTCTCTTTTCTTTAGTTTTTTTGGTTTTCAAGATAGGATTTCTCAGTAGCTATGGAGCCAGTCCTCGATCTCACTCTGTAGACCAGGCTGGCCTTGAACTCACAGATTTGCCTGCCTCTGTCTCCCAAGTGCTGGGATTAAAGGTGTGCGCCACTACAGCCCCACTTTTCTATTTTAAATTTTGAGACACAGTTTCACTGAGTTTCCTAGAGTGGCCCTAAATTCACTGTGCAGCCTAGGCAGGTCTTGCACTTGCAATCCTTCTGCCTGAGCCTCTTGAGCAGTTAGAATTCTCAGCCTGTGCCACCAGACCTGACAATTTCCAAAACTGTTTTTAACATTTCCAGCTAAAGCTGCAGACTCTTTTTAAGTTGAAAAGAGCATGGGTAAGAAATAGGACAAACTGCACTTGACATTCAGAAGCTTTCATTTATCCAGATGAAAGTTTGCAGAATCCTAAACCAACCAATGAAACAAGCAGAGGTGAGACCCCTTTAGGGAGATAAGAGAATTCACAGAGCTTGGAGGGAGAGAGAAAAGGGAGAAACTGGTGCATTCCAGCTATGGAACATCATGTGAAGTAGATATTGGGGACATGATGAACTGCCTTTCTGATAGGTGGAATTTGGGAAGTGCCTGTGGGCCATGAGTCCATAGTATAATTGTATGGTCTCCCAGTGCTTTCCTTGCCTTGAGAGCACATGTAAGGGAGCACTGAGACCCTCAGTAATTAAGAAACTGATCCTTTGAGATCAAAAATATTTATTTTTTAAAAATAAAAATGCAACAAATCCAAAATATTAAAAAGTATATATGTCTATATATGTCTGTGTATATCATATATATTATACATATGTATTAAGAATATCATCTAAATAGTGTATGGGTACTTGAATGCTACAGAGTGAGTATGGAGGTCAGTAGACAACTCGGGAATCAGTTCTTTCTTCCTTTGTGGGTCCTAGGGATCCAACCTAGGACATCAGACTTGGCAACAAGCACTTAGCCTGCTGAGCCATCCTTTTAGATATGTTAGTAACTTTTTTAGTCATGTTCTTATACTGCAAGCTGGGCTTTAACACTGTTTACTACAGACAGGTCTCAGACATGATCCTCCTGCAGTTGTCTTAGTACTAGCATTGCAGATGTGCACCATCTCAGCCAGCATAGAAAGGAAGAAACTTGGGGCTGGAGAGATGGCTCAGTGGTTAAGAGCATTGCCTGCTCTTCCAAAGGTCCTGAGTTCAATTCCCAGCAACCACATGGTGGCTCACAACCATCTGTAATGAGGTCTGGTGCCCTCTTCTGGCCTGCAGACATACACACAGACAGAATATTGTATACATAATAAATAAATAAATATTTAAAAAAAAAAGAAAGGAAGAAACTTGGTACACATGCATAGTGTATGTGCATGTGTGTGGAGGCTAGAGCTAGACCTTGAATGTCTCCCTCTGTCATTCTCCACTGCTTTTTTTTTTAAAGATTTATTTATTAATTATGTATGTATACACCATCTGCCTGCGTGTATCCCTGCAGGCCAGAAGAGGGCACCAGATCTCATTACAGATGGTTGTGAGCCACCATGTGGTTGCTAGGAATTGAACTCAGGACCTCTGGAAGAACAGTCAGTGATCTTAACCTCTGAGCATCTCTCAGCCCCTCTCCACTGCTTTTTTGCTTTGTTTTGTTTTGTTTTGTTTTAGATCGGGTCTCTTTCCTCCCCCAAATGCTGGGGATAGAAGCATGAACCACCATATTTTTATTCACTTATTTCTTAATTTAATTGATTTCTGGTTTTTCTTTTTTACTTTAGTCCTTAATTTAGTTCTGTAGATACAACTTGTAGAAAAGTTGTGACAGAGCCAAATTTATAATGTTGTAAGCTTTATAATTGGGCTTAAAGGTGATAGTCATCCCTGGGATGTGGGTGAGATTCCAGGACTGTATATGTAAAGAGTGCTCTCCTTGACCTGTCTGAGGAATGAGTGTCTTTAAAGGAATGCAGTGGGAGGAATCACTAGCACTGTCCCTCAGGGCAGGAGTTTCAGCTCAGTGTACAAGAGTCCTCTGGGGAAGGAGAGAATGCTTCAATAGTTAGAGTTAATTGGACCACAAGTCTATATAGATGCTAATAGGGCAGTTGGGAGGATACGTAAAAACCAAAGAAAGTTAAAAAGTGAGAAAGAAAGCTATCTTCTGGGACTTTCTCCAACCTAGAATATTTATACTTTCTGTAATTTGATCCTCAGAAGCAGAAACCACACTGCCGGGGCATGGCTCCCAATGGCTTACCCAATTATATTATGGCTCCTGTTTGGAAGTGCCTGCACCTCACCAAGGACCTGTGAGCTTTGGGGACAGGGACTGAGGGTGAGAGGGTGGAGGAGGAATATAAGGACCATCTGGAAAGAGGGAAGCCCTTGCTAATGTAGAAAGTGGTGGTAACATCTTTACTTAGAAAAACTGTTAAGGGCAAAATCTTTCTTTACTTGACCACTTTTTAAGGGCTGGTTACTCCCACCCTCACAGAAAATGGTTTTAGACAGTGCCATGTAGAATCTGTCTCCTTTTCCACTGATGATGCTTCTGTCTCTCTAGCCGAGAACAGCAGCATTCATTCTGGGAGTTTGCTGAATGGATTCCAGTAGCCTGGAAGTGGCAGCTGTTATCGGAACTGTAAGTTGGATTGACATCCCTGAAGCTGTATTACTTTTCTATTACTGTGATAGAATAATCTGACAAAAGTAGGAAGCATTTTTTTTTTTTTTTTTTTTTTTGGCTCACAGAGTCAAAGGCACTTGCGAGTCATGGTAGGAAAGTCCTGGCAGAACCTTGAAGCAGCTGGTTGCTCTTTATCTGTAGTTGGGAAGTCAAGATCAGTGGGTGCTCAGCTATTTTATCCAGTCCAGGACCCAAGCCCATGAACATTTAGGGTGAATTGTCCCATTTCAATTAACCTAATAAAATCATTCACAGACTTACCCAGAGGCCAACCTAATTTAGGTAAACCGTCACAGGTATGCCCCCAGACTTACCTAATAGATAATTCTAGGCCCTGTCAAGAAAAACCACCAAAGTCCTCGAAGGAGAGGGAGAGGACAGACAAGTGACAAAGAATTTTTTTTTTCTAAAGATTTAATTATGTATACAGTATTCTGTCTGCATATATGCTTGCAGGCCAGAAGAGGGCACAAGATCTCATTACGGATGCATGTGGTTTCTGGGAATTGAACTCATAACGTTTGGAAGAGCAGTCAGTGCTCTTAACCTCTGAGCCATCTCCCCAGCCCCCAACCAAGAATTCTTTAGTGTACAGTGGGAAAATTCTTCTGAGTTGAAGCTAATGTTTTTGCTTCCTGCAGTGAAGCAGCTCCTTACCTGCCACAGGAGGAGAAGTCCCCCCTGTTCTCTGTACACCGTGAAGGAATTCCTGAGGATGGCACAATCTACAGAATAAACAGGTAAAAGACAGCCACTCAGCTCTTTCTCTGATTCTCGAAGATGTTTCGAGGATTAACAGATTAGCCCTGTCCTCTCCTGAGTGCTGTTCTGGTTGGTTCTGAGAATAGAGTCCAGCTGTAACAAGCTAGTCCTCTGTAATGTACAGTATTCAGCTCTCTCCAAGCTGGGCTAGAGATGTTTGGAGACTCAGGTGGTCCAAGTCACAAGATGGCATGCATTTAGCATGAAAGAACAGCTTCTCATCTTTGGAAGTGAGCTGGCGTTCATTTCTGAGAGTGAAGGGAGGGAAGCGTGAGTGGGGGCGAGTCCTCCTCCAGCCACAGGCTAATTTTCAGAGTCTCATATAAGCTGGTCACCTGTTCCAGTGGGACTTGCCATTTTGACCTTCCATTTCCTAATATCTCTGTTACTCTCTGACCTTTCTCTAGATTTAGCTCGATCACAGCACACCCAGAGCGCTGGGATGTGTCCTTCTTCACAGGAGGACCACTCTGGGCTCTGGACTGGTGCCCAGTGCCTGAAGGGTCAGCAGCCTCACAGTATGTGGCCCTTTTCTCCAGCCCAGACATGAATGAGACACACCCACTGAGCCAGCTTCATTCAGGCCCTGGGCTGCTGCAGCTCTGGGGCCTTGGGACATTGCAGCAAGAAAGCTGGTGAGGTGGGGCTGGGACACTGCCACAGGCAGGTGGGTGAGGGAGAAACGAGGCTGGGAAAGGGCTTGCATTGCACTGAGATGAGACGAGGAAATGGAGCTGTTAGTCCTAGGCTTTTCCTACCTACTGTGTCCCATGTTTCTCTCCCCAGTCCTGGCAACAGGGCCCACTTTGTCTATGGGATTGCCTGTGACAGTGGATGTATCTGGGACCTCAAATTCTGCCCCAGTGGGGCATGGGAACATCCAGAAACCCCTCGGAAGGTACTTCTAGTTGACTGTGGGCTAGCTGTTGGAGGTCTTAGGGCTGGAGGAAGGAGAGTGTGGTTGGTGGGTGGGGGTTTTCCGGAAATCCCATGTCCTGTTCTGAGAGACACCCTCAGGTTTTCTGAGAGGCACCTGAAAGCAGCAAACCTCAGCACAGATCTGCTCCCCCCCACTCTCCAGGCTCCTCTTCTGCCTCGGCTGGGTCTTTTAGCCCTGGCCTGCTCAGATGGGAAGGTACTGCTGTTCAGTCTGCCGCATCCTGAGGCCCTCCTGGCTCAGCAGCCTCCAGGCAAGTAGCACAACTACTACAGTGGTGGTAGCTGGACTCTCAGCTTGTCTAACTCCTGTGACCCAGATAGTCTCGAGCGTAAAAGCTTGATTAGGCAGACTTCTGTGATGGAAATATGACTTCAGTTTTTCTTTTTGTTTGTTTGTTAAGACAAGGTTTCTCTGTGTAACAGTCCTAGTTGTCCTGGGACTAGCTCTGTCAGGCTGGCCTCGAACTCACAGAGATCCATCTGCCTCTGTTTCCCTTGTGCTGGTCTCAGGATTCCCCTCACCTATGTTTAGGCAGTATCTTGTAGGGGCCATTTGTAGTGATGAGGCGAGCAGGCCTGCTTTTCTTCCCCTCCTAGCTCCGCACAGCTAGCTTAGCCCCAGAATAATTACACGGAAACTGTATTCTTTTAAGCACTTCCTGGCCCATTATCTCTAGCCTCTTACTGGCTAACTCTCGCATCTTGATTAACCCATTTCTAATAATCTGTGTAGCATCACGAGGTGGTGGCTTACTGGGAAGATTCTAGCCTACATCCATCTTGGGTTGGAGCTTCATCGCATCTGACCTACTATGCTTTCTTTCTCCCAGCATTCTGTTCTGTCTACTCCACGTATCTAAATTCTGCCCTATCAAAAAGCCAAGGCAGTTTCTTTATTAACCAGTGAGAGTAACACATAGATATATGACCCTCCTCCATCAGTATCTTTTAGGAAGAGTTAAAAAAGGCAGATCCTATTTTTTTCTCCAACAATACTTAAGTATTTAAAAGGAAGGTATCTGGATTTAAGCCTTTGAGTGTTTGGTGTTTGGTAGTCTGTTGGAGAAATAGGTTGAGGCAGACATAGGGCAACTGGCCTGTCCAGTACCGTGACATCGTGATGTGATATCATCTACAAAGCTCATTTCCACACTTGAATTACCAAAACATGAAAAATCTGGTAATGTGTTCAATAGAGTTGCTATTTTGTGTTGAGTCACATTCTTAGCTATTCTTAGCTGCATGCAGCTTAAAAGATTGAACAAGTCTCATAGATAATTTCTTTAGAAAGTTTTGAGATAATAGGGAACTTGGGAGACAGGTGTGTACTTGGATCTCTGTAAGTCCAAGGCCAGCTTGAACTTCAAGTGAGTTCCAGGACAACCAGAGCTCTGTAGAGAGACCTGTCTGAAAAAAAAAAAAAACATAAAGAAAAAAAAAGGTTTAGATATAAAAGGAGGCAGGTAAATGAGGATGCCGCTTAGTGAATATGCACCAAAGGAGGTTTTATGTGCTTCTTTTAGTTGAATTTTTTGAAGCAGAGTCTCATGTAGCCCAGACTAGCCTTGAACTTACCATGTAGCTGAGGATAACTTTGAACTTCTTTTCCTTCTTTTTCCACTTCATGTTCTGGGATTACAGGTCTACACTACCACACTTGTCTCTGTGTTTAATAACTCTATAGAAGAGACATAGAAATGTAGGAACAAGTCAGTAAGGACAGAACACATGGATAATGAAAACAGAGTTCTGAGCAAATGAGCAGAGTTCTAGAAACAGAAAGGAGAGAAGAACATCTGGAGGTGTTAGTGTTTCTCATAGAAGGGATGGTAGTGTTGGGGAAAGAGTGGGGCAGGTGGACATAGTGAGAGAAAGAATGAAAGAAGGGCATTGGGGGGCTGGAGAAATGGCTCAGAGGTTAAGAGCATTGCCTGCTCTTTCAAAGGTCCTGAGTTCAATTCCCAGCAACCACATGGTGGCTTACAACCATCTGTAATGAGGTCTGGTGTCCTCTTCTGGCCTGCAGGCATACACACAGACAGAATATTGTATACATAACAAATAAATAAGTATTTAAAAAAAAGAAAGAAAGAAAGAAAAGAAAGAAAGAAAGAAGGGCATTGCTGAGGCGTGAGAGAGGAGGAGCTCAGTCCTGTGGATCCAAAGCATCAACTATCTACTATTCTTGTTTTTCTTCCTTACAGATGCTATGAAGCCTGCCATCTACAAGGTGAGTGAGGAGCCTGTTAACTTAGCTGAGGCTGCATCTGCCTAGAGCCTTATTTTACAGAGTCTACAGTGAGTCTTTCACTTCTGAAAGTATCCCCTTTCTCAGCCGGGTGGTGGGACATGCCTTTAATCCCAGCACTTGGGAGGCAGAGGCAGGCGGAACTCTGAGTTGGAGACCAGCCTGGCTACAGAGTGAGTTCCAGGACAGCTAAGGCTACACAGAGAAACCCTGCCTCAAAAAAAAAAAAAAAAAAAAAGAAAGAAAGAGAAGAAAAACTGATTTGAGGGGGTTGGAGACACTTTGTCCTCTTGTAGAGGACCCGGGTTTGGTTCTTAGCACCTACATGGAGGCTCACAACCAACCATAACTCTGGTTCCAGGAGATCTGACCCTGCCCCTTCTCAGTTCCTTGGACACCAAGCAGTTATGTGGTACACACATACCTTCCCTCCCTCTCTCTCTCTCTCTCTTTCTCTCTCTCTCACACACACACACAGAAGCCACTTAGACACGTAGAATAAACCTTGAGGGGAAAAAAAACTAATTAGAGTCTCCTTTCAAACAGTAAGAGCTCCTAATCCTAATCCCAGCTCTTCTGTCCTTACAGGTACAGTGTTTGGCAACCCTTCAGGTAGGGTCTGTGCAAGCTTCAGACCCCTCTGAGTGTGGTCAGTGCCTTAGCCTGGCTTGGATGCCTACCAGGCCCCACCACCACCTGGCTGCAGGATACTATAATGGTAAAAACCAAGACCTGTTGCTCTTTAAGCTTTTTATATGTGCTTGGGTTTGGATTGTGTTCTTTTTTGATTAAGCGTAACATTATATTATAGTTTAAAATCAGAGCTGGAGAGATTTCTCAGCAGTTACATACATTTGCTGCTCTTGCAGAGGACCTGGGTTTGGTTTCTAGCACCCACCTATAGCTCACAACTATCTATAACTCCAGTTCCAAGGGATCCAAAGCCTTCTGGTCTCAGGGTCCTTAGCATGCACATGGTGCTCAAACAGACATGCAAGCAAAAATACTCATATGCACTAAATAGAGTAAATCTTTATACAAATTCAAGCATTGTAAAAAAAAATACACAAAGAAGAAATGTCACTATAATTTTTTCAGTAAGAAAATTATTGGGTGGGATATAGTTCAGTTGGTAGAATGCTTACTTTGCATTTCTTTTTTCAATCCTCACACTCCATAAACTAGGCATAATGTTACATGTCTGTAATCTTAACGCTTGGGAGGTGGAGGCAGGATGATCAGAAATTCAAGGTTGGGGGTATAACTCAGTAGTAGAGCATTTACTGCAGAAGTTTGAAGAAAATAAGTGTTTGATCCGGTAGTGGTGGCACACACCATTAATCCCATATTTTTAGGGGGCTGGAGAGATGGCTCAGAGGTTAAGAGCATTGCCTGCTTTTCCAAAGGTCTTGAGTTCAATTCCCAGTAACCACATGGTGGGTCACAACCATCTGTAATGAGGTCTGGTGCCCTCTTCTGGCCTGCAGGCATACACACAGACAGAATATTGTATACATAATAAAATATTTTTTAAAAAATATTTTTTTAAGCCGGGCGGAGGTGGCGCACGCCTTTAATCCCAGCACTCGGGAGGCAGAGGCAAGCGGATCTCTGTGAGTTCGAGACCAGCCTGGTCTACAGAGTTAGTTCCAGGACAGGCTCCAAAAAGCCACAGAGAAACCCTGTCTCGAAAATCCAAGTTTTTGTTTGATTGATTGTTTTTGTTTTTTTGATAGCATTTCTTTGTAGCTTTGGAGCCTGCCCTGGAACTAGCTCTTGTAGACCAGGCTGGCCTTGAACTCACAGATCCATCTGCCTCTACACCACCACTGCCCGGCCCAATTAAAAGAATTTTAAGAAGAACTGGACACTGCTAGCTTGTGGTGGCACATGCCTTTAATCCCGACACTCAGAGACAGACAGGAGGATCTCTGTGAGTCTGAGGCCAGCCTGGTCTATATAGTGAGTTTCAGGATAGCCAGAGCTACATAGAGAAACCCTGTCTCGGGGAGGGGCAGGGTGGGTAGTACTGAATAAACAGCCCAGAATGTAAAATTGCTGCTAAGCCTGACAATCTGAGTTTGATCCCCAGGATTCTCACAGTCAAAGGAGAGAACTGACTCCCTTAGGATGGTCTTCTATACACATGCTGTGGTACACAAATACAAAACAAATTTATATAATTCAAATAAATAATTAGATGGACAGAACTGGTATATACATATAATAAAGTACTAAGCAATTTAGAAAAAAAATGATGTCTCCTGACATATAGCATGGATACAGCTCAGAACAGCTACCACAATGCCTGCTGATCACTAGTGTGATATGCAGATAGTTGCTTTCCTCATTCATAAAGAGTCATAAGGAATTTTGACAGTGATGGGAATATTTGGGTTCTTGTTTGTGGGGTTTTTTTTTTCCTGGTGCAAGTGCCTGTCAAACTCATGGAATCATGTGCTTGAAATAAATGTACTTAACATAAATGTTTCCACTATGAAATAGAAAAGAGAAAAATTCTCTGATAATACAGGAGTTCATCATGGGAATTTAAAGAAGGACAACCTTATAGTAAAAGATCATACTATGTAAGCTGTTTAATGTAAAGGTGTTGGGGCTGGAGAAGTGGCTCAGTTAAGATCACTGACTGCTCTTCCAGAGGACCTGGGTTCGATTCCTGGCATCTACAGGCAGGTCACAGCTGACCGTAGTGCTCCAGGATCCAGTGTGTGGTGGGCCTGCTGTACAAGGCTATAATCAGCTACTTGGATCCTGAGGTAGGAGGCTCAAGCTCAAGGAATACACATTCAAAATTAAAAATAGAAAGATTAGCAAGTGCCTACATAATATTCATTAGATTCTGGATATAATCCCCCAGTTCTTCAAATAAGTACAATTTAAAGGTATTTAATTACATATATTTTACATTTACTTATTAACTCAATGAGGGGCAATGTGTGGAGGTTAGAGGACAACTTACTTGGTTCTTTTTTTCAACCATGTAGGTAGGATCAAACTCAAGTTGTCGGGTTTGGCAGCAGACAGCCTTACTACTGAGCCTCTTTTATTGTTTTTAAGTAACAGTCTCATTTTCAGAGATCAGTATACTTTCTCTCAAGAAGATGAGGAAATTAATGCTTTTTTAAACCTACGTCACTCTTGTGTCTGTTTTCTGCTTTTCTCAGATGGTATTTCATCATCACGACACATGGCTCATGCTGTATTGCTATGTTACACTTCTCCCAGTACTAGGGATTGAACACAGCCCTTGCATATGTGAGATAAGCTGCTTTAGCTGAAGTGATCTAATGATTGTCTCCCTGAGATCTCTCAGCTCAGTCTCCTGCTTCCACTGCTGAGTTATTTTCATTGCTTGCCTACAATTCACTGTATTTGTTTTGTTTTTTGAAAAAGGTTCATAAATGCTACACTTGCTACGCTTATATATATATAAGATTTTTAATGTCCTTTTATCTTTTCTTTTTATCTGAGTTACATTTCTGAATACCTCTTCTTTGCTAGCCTTGTTTTTTTATTTGTTTTTAGTTTTGTTTGTTTGTTTCTTTTTTTTTTTTTTTTTCGAGACTGGGTTTTTCTGTTGCTTTGGATCCTGTCCTGAAACTCACTTTGTAGACCAGGCTGGCCTTGAACTCACAGAGATCCATTGACTCTGCCTCCCAAGTGCTGGGATTAAAGGTGTGTGTCTGGGCCTAGGGAGTTGGCTCAGAGGTTAAGGACACCGCCTGTTCCTCCAAAGGACCTAGGTTCAATTCCCAGCACTCACATGCAGTTTACAACTGTCTGTAACCCCAGTTCCAGGGGATTTGACACCTTCACACCAATTCACATTAAAAAAGTGTAAAAAATTTAAAAAGGGGGGGTGTGCCACCACTGCCTGGCTCGCCTTGTTTTAAGTCAAGTCGTTTTCTGTATGTACATCTGTTGTCTCTTCCTCTCCATTCTGTTGTTTTTATTGTTGTAGAGCAGAATTAGAAATTTTCTGGGTTTTTTGTTTTGTTTTGTTTTTTGGAGACAGGGTTTCTCCATGTAACAGCCCTGGCTATCCTGGAACTCGCTTTGTAGACCATGCTGGCCTCGAGTTCTGCCTGTCTCTGCCTCCCGAGTGTTGGGATTAATGGTGTATGCCACCATTGCCCAGCCAAGAAAATTTTTGTAATGAGCCAAATAGTAGTGATTTTAGACTTTTTAAGCTAATTTGCCATTATTGGTGCTAAATTCTGTTATTTGGGTATGTAATCAACCCAAGATGTTGTGTAAATGAATAGGTATGACAGTGTTTCAGTATAATTTGCCAGAACAGGCAGCCTAAGCAAGACATTATGGCTGATAGCGACATTGGAGGAGAGCCCAAAGGATGCTGTGAGTGTGAGGCCAGCCGAGGCTGCACACTAAGATGCTGTCTCCAAAGAGTGTGACACTAACTAACTCCATTCTTGTGAGATGAAGCACATTTATTCCCTAGTACCCAAATAAAAAAAGGCAAAACTGAATCTGTCAGATCTGCTGGTTGTAGTCTGCCAACTAGTATTCTAAAGGGCTTTTAGTTTGTTTGGTTGCGATAGGGTTTCATGGTGCATCCCAGGTAGATCACCCTGCCTCAGCCCGAATGCCAAGATTATAAGCATGTGCCACTGTCAGCCATGTGCACTTTTTTTTTTTTTTTTAAGACAGGGTTTCTCCGTAGCTTTTTTGGTTCCTGTCCTGGTCGTCATCAGCTGGTCGTCATCATCCCTGCTCTTTCATTGTAGTTTGGATTTGAGAGTCAGGAGACAAAAGTCTGGGATCCCAAAGAAATGAGAACAGAGAACCAGCACCCTTCCTTTAACACAGTGGTTCCTGACCTCCTGACGCTGCCGCCCTTTAGCACAGTTCCTCATGTTGTGGTGACCCCACCATAAAATTATTTCAACAGTTCTGGATCCGGATGTAAATATTTTTGGAGATAGAGGTTTGTCAAAGAAGTCACGACCCACAGGTTGAGAACCACTGCTTTAATGTCTACATATTCTATCCCTACTTTAGGCATGGTGGTTTTCTGGAATCTTCCCACTAATTCACCCCTCCAACGGATACGTCTCCCTGATGGCTCCTTAAAGCTGTATCCCTTCCAGTGTTTCTTAGCCCATGACCAGGCTGTTCGTACAATTCAATGGTGCAAAGCTAACAGGTACAGAGTTTGAGGGCTGTGGAAGGGGACTCTGTAGCAGGCTGCCTCTTCCATATTGGCTCTGATGTGTTCTCCCGTCTTTCAGTCATTTCCTGGTTTCTGCGGGGAGCGACCGGAAAATCAAATTCTGGGATCTTCGGCGACCTTATGAACCAATAAATTGTATCAAGCGCTTCTTGAGTACAGAGCTTTCCTGGCTGCTCCCCTACAATGGTGTCACCGTGGCTCAGGACAACTGCTATGCCTCGTACGGCAAGATGGAGCTATGAGTTGGGACAGGCTCTAAGGGTTGGAGCAGAAATGGGAAAGGAGGGTTGGGTTGTTCTGAATTCTGTAGGAAAAGAATTTATTATTCTTAGAAGAAGGACAGTTTATTCTATCTCTCTTTCTCATAGTTACGGACTCTGTGGAATTCATTACATCGATGCTGGTTACCTTGGTTTTAAGGCCTACTTTACTGCTCCACGAAAAGGCACCGTCTGGGTGAGCTCCTTCTTCCAGCTTCAGTAGGCAGGAGATGCTCATTTGCTCACTGTAGTAGTCAGGGCACAAGGAGGAACTAACGATATAAGATAATTCCATCTTTAGGGATTTGAGTTGTTTCTCCGGATCTCTCTCCCCAGCCTCAGACAGTATAGTCACCATCACAGGCAAATGAATGAGTAAATGGATGAAATAAATTTGCTCTCTTCCTATTAGAGTCTTTCAGGTTCAGACTGGCTCGGGACAGTAGCTGCAGGAGATATATCTGGGGAGCTCATTGCAGCTATTTTACCTGATATGGCATCAAACCCAATTAATGTCAAGAAACCTGCAGAAAGAAGATTTGTGAGTATACGAACATTTATCTATAGGTCATAATCTACTTGCCTCGTCAGCTCTTGGTAGAATGCAAACTAGTGCTTGGTCTCCAAGCTCTGATACTGTCCTTGTTATGGCAAGGAATTTGGTATAATCTTCTCTGCCCTGTTGGAACGGAGCATGTGTGTTTGGTTGGTTGGTTGGTTGGTTTTTCGAGACAGGGTTTCTCTGTAGTTTTGGAGCCTGTCCTGGAACTAGCTCTCGTAGACCAGGCTGGTCTCAAACTCACAGAGATCCGCTTGCCTCTGCCTCCCAAGTGCTGGGATTAAGGGCATGAGCCACCACTGCCAGGCCTGAGCATGTTTTTTAAAAATTGTTTCCATCGGCCTGGAGGGATGGCTCAGCCGTTAAAGGCTAGGCTCACAACCAAAAATTGTTTCCATCATATTTATTTTGTGTATATATGTATGGGTGGTGGTGTGCATGCCAGAAGGCAACTTATAAGTCAGTTTTCTTTCTCTCTCTGTCTCTCTCTTTCTCTCTTTTCTCTCTCTCTCTCTCTCTCTCTCTCTCTCTCTCTCTCTCTCTCTCTCTCCACCATATAGATCCTGAAGATTAAACTCAAGTTACCAGACCTAGCATCTAGAGCTTTTATCCACAGCCACCGCACTGGCTCCAGTGTTTTGTTTTGTTTTGGGTTTTCAAGACAGGGTTTCTCTATGATAGCCCTAGCTGTCCTGGAACTTGCTTTGTAGTCCTGGCCTCAAACTCACAGAGATCCGTCTGCCTCTGCCTCATAAGTAAAGGGGTGCACCATCACAGACTGCCATGGAGTGTATTTTTACTCTTACTACTTTTAAGACTTTGCCACAGTAAGCCAGTTTACTTTCTGCTTTTGTGTTTCAGTATGTTAAAATCTAATCTCAGGTGGTGGTACATGCCTTTAATCCCACCACTCAGAAAGCAGAGGCCAGCTTGGTCTACAAAGCAAGTTCCAGGACAACTAGGGCTACACAGAGAAACCCTGCCTCAAAACAAACAAACAACAAAAAGAAAAAGAAAAGAAATCTAAGGCTAGAGAGATGGTCTGCTAAGCCCATGTGCTGAATTCAGCCTGAATTCCTCGTACTGGCATGTGTGATGCATGCAGTTGTAAATAAAAATAAAATTGTAAGACACTAATTTTTGGTCTTCTCCTAGCCTATCTATAAAGCAGATCTGATAGCATACCAGGATAGCCCTGAAGACCAAGATTCCTTGGCCACCTCTGAGACCCCCAATCCTCCCAAAGCGAGAACGTACACTGAGACCATCAATCACCACTACCTACTCTTTCAGGATACAGATCTGGTAAGCTGTGGCTACAAGTCAGTGTGGCATTAGAAAAGGTAGACACTTGGCTGGAGAGATGGCTCAGAGGCTAAGAGCACTGGCTGCTCTTTCAGAGATCCTGAGTTCAATTCCCAGCATTCCATGGTGGCTTACAACCATCCATAATGAGATCTGGTGCCCTCTTCTGTCGTTCAAGCAGAACACTGCTTGAATGTACATAATGAATGAATGAATGAATGAATCTTAAAGGAAAAGATAGAAACCTTAGATAACAGGCAATCCTAAGGAATTCTACTTGTGTTCCCCAGAGTTCCTTCCACAATCTACTCCGTAGAGAACCGATGCTGCGCATGCAGGAAGGAGAGGGGCATTCTCAGCTTTGCCTGGATAGGCTGCAACTTGAAGCTATTCACAAGGTGAGAGACTAAATGGCAGCAGAGACGGCTAGAGGAGAAGCAGCCTTGGTGACCTGGGTCATGGTACAGAGAGCTCATTCATTATCTCATGGTCTAGTCCTGATAGTGACTTGATTTTATTTGGTTGGTTGGTTTTGGGTGTTCTCTCTATGTAGCTCTGGCTCTCCTGGAGCTCACTTTGTAGACCAGGTTGGCCTAAAACTCAAAGAGATATATATATATATATATATATATATATATATATATATATATATATATCTTCCTATCTTTTGGGTACTGGGGTTAAAGGTGGGTGACCTGTTTTTAAAGCTCACACATCTAGGGGTCACTTTAAGACACAACTGCTGAGGCTCTTTTTGGTTTTCTGTTCTCTTCACAGGTACGTTTCAGCCCAAACCTGGACTCCTATGGATGGCTGGTATCTGGGGGGCAGTCAGGGCTGGTTCGGATCCATTTTGTCCGTGGACTCACTTCCCCGCTGGCCCACCGTGTACAGCTTGAAAGCCGAGCCCACTTCAATGCTATGTTCCAAACCTCCTTTTCAACTGAAGGGCCTGGTTTCTCTCCAACCAGCCATTGCCTTCCCCCCAATCCCTAATCTGGTCCACGCAGAACCTCTTGGATTGAAGTCTGCCAAGAACAAATGGCCCCCGTGCACAGAGCATAGGACCTGGGCCCTTCCTGGACAGTGATGGTGCCAGGCCTAGATCTTTAGGCCTACCTGCCCAGAACTCCTTAAATCCCTCTCCTTCCACAGACTTCTGTGGTCACAGCTCCCTGCAGGTAGGGGGGCTCCCCCTCCACAACAATTCCTATGCCTAAAACCGTGGCTCACAAGAAACACTCAGGCCTGACCTAGGCTTGGGAGTCAAATTGCTCATATTGAGCATATTGTGAAGGAGGTAAAGCTAAGTAAAGGTACTGGGTGTTTTTGAGACCACTTGTGAGTGGGTGTTTGGAGAGTCGGAAAGGATCTTCATGAAGGCTCCTGTCGAATTCCAGGATTTGATGTTATTGCCTTCCAATCTTCCTCTTTAGAATAACCAACACACAGGCCCAGTGGGTGACAGTAATTTATTGCTTGTTATACTTTAACTGAGGAACATCCTAAACTCCTATCAGTAGGACAGCGGCCAGCTCTTAGTTGCTCCTGCTTATGAAATATCCCAATCATCGGTCACTTGACACTACTTGAACACTCCTAGATAGTAGTGTTTTTAAAATTTTTGGAGCTGGGTATAATGGTGCACACCTGTAATCCCAGCACTTGGGAGGCCGAGGCAGGAGGATCATAATTTTGCATTCAGTCTGGGCTATCTCATAAAACCAAAAAGTAAGAAAAAAATCTTCCTTTATATCAAGTCAAGAGTATACCTCTATTAATTTTACTAATGGTTGTTAGGAGATGTAGTCATTCCCTGTGAGTGCCCTTTTCAGTACTTAACAGTGTTTCTCAAGTCATTTTTTTCTCTAGATTAAATATCTTTAGTTATTTCAATCATTCTTTTACAAGTCATGATTTTTGATCTTCATGATATGGTCACACTGTTGACATATTAAACATGTTTAAACTGTATAGAAAGTATTTAGAACCCAATAATGTATTGTCATCTGGATAGAGTCCTCTCGTGGATAGCTGCACCTCATATGACTGATACTGCCTCGAAAACACAGGCAGCCCAGTGATGGGAAATGGTCAAGTCACAGCCATGGAACATGTAGGGATACAGACTGAGGTTTGGAAGGAAGTAGTTAGACCATCTTACTAGAAAATAGGAAGCAAATAGGTCGCCCGCTTCCTCTTGGAAGGGATGCAGTCTAGATTAGTATTGCCTGAAACAAACCTAGACTTTAGCACACTCAAGTCTGGTCTGTCATATCTGGGAACAGCCTTCTGCCTGAGTAGTATAGAAGATTTATCAAATACCAGAAAAATCTTTCAGAAGAGAATCAGTAGTTCAGTTGCCTTCCTATATAAAGAGAAAGCAGGCCTGTAGGAAACTCAGGTCCTTAAGCCACGGAAGGACCACAACCCATGTTGGTGTGAAGGAGCCAAGTGTTGTACCAGTCTGTTGTGATCCAGCTTAGGCTGTGTCAGGCTTGCTTTTTGAACTAATAAAGAAGTGCCTTCCATTGCAGAGAAGCTTGGCTTGTCCTGCAGAGCATCCCCTTGACACAGCTCATCCTTGTTTCCCTACTTCCAGTGGTAGAGAAGGTGGGGCCTGGGAACTAAAGACAGCAGTTGTAGGCTGGTGCCAGCAGCCTGCTCCTGATACTGAGTCAGCCTTTATGTTGAACTGAAGACAATGTGGATAATGTTTTTTGCTCTTTTTTCTTCTCCCATGGGCCTTTTCTCATTTTTCTTCCTTCCTTGTATATCTACTTTATAATCCATTGGTTCCTGCTCTTTTCTTCTTTTGGGCCTTAGCTTAGTTTGTCGCCGTCTCCAGTTGTCTTTTCCCAGCATCACCCAAATCCTGTTCATCCTTCAAGATCCCTCCCAGGGCTGGGTTGTAGCTCAATGGAAGAGCATGTGCTTAGCATGTACAAGGCCCTTGGTTCAGTTCCCACCCACCCTATACCCCTGCCCTCCAAAAAAAGAAAAACCAGATCAAATTTCACTTGGGAACTTTTTGTATTTCTCCAAGGAGGGGTATGGTGGACAGGGCCAGGACTTCATGTGTTAGAGAAGAAGGCTGGACGGATGAATATGGTCTATTTTGTGTGCTTTACATGTTACTGAGCGTTATGAGCTTTATACTATTTTATGTAATGATTAGATTCTGAGACGCTGAGCAATCTAAATAAGGTCATATAACTACCAAAACTGGCACTGAGATTTTAACCCATACACTTCCTTAAAAATACTTTTCCAACCTTGCACATTTGACCTATTACATCTACTGATATAAATTCCTTTAACATGTTCTATACACAGGAATCCAAATTCTCTAGTAGCTAATAGGATTCATTCTCCTGTAATCATATGGGAATTGAGTACATGAGCTGAGTGTAAGCAGACAGAACAGGAAAGTTGAGCTTTCTTGACATTTTTGTAGATACATTTTTACCCTACCTGGGGAGGGTAATTGCAGTGGGTTGGGTAAATTACAGCAGGACGAAGGCTTAAGGGTCCCCAAACTGGTTTTCAAACAGTTGTATGCCTCTTTGCTTAAAATGACTCCAGAAACAAAAAAACAAACAAACAAAAAACTCCATTAGGTTCACTCTTGCACATCTAGATTTTGAGGAGCCCTGATACGCAATACTGAACACAAACTCTCCTAACAAAGGCTGGGCAGCCTCAGTTACAGAGCTAACAGGCACTCTCGGTTTCTCCCAGGCCAGTAGAAGTAGACTGCATATTGAAAAAGATTTTGGCTGGGCGGTGGTGGTGCACGCTTTTAAGGACAAAGCTTAACATTTTGTTATGAAGCCCAAAAATAGAACAAGTTCAAGCCCAGCATTCAAGTTTCCAAACAAAAGGGGATCCAGACCGGGCCAGCTCTGGGAGACTGGGATAGTGGGGACCTCTAGGCTGACAGCCTGGGAGCCCGGGACCAGACGAGGTATACGGAAGCACAGACCAGACTCCACACTGTTATTTGGTGCCATCCACAAGAAGGGGGCTACCCACTAGGTGACCTTAATGGGTATCAAGGGCCCCAGACATTTTCATTTCTCCTGGATTGCAAGTGTCCAAACGACAGGCTGCATGCGGACGGAAGGGGCGGGGCTCAATACGGAAGTCCCTCGGCCAGCTCCAGTCACGTGGGAGAAGCTTCCACGCATTGCTAGCATTCAGGTGAGTGGAGGATTCTTGGCCATCAGTGCTTTGAAGTGCTGCGGGCCAGAAGCGCCTGCAAGTCATGTGACCTTTCAGACTCGGATCGTGGTTTATTTCCGGTGTGGAGTTGCACTCAGGATGCGGCTTAGTTCCAACTGAGTCTGCATTTGGACACCTATCAAGTTTACCAGGGGTGGGGCGGGGAAACCTAGACTCTGGATGGAAGCTAGTGTAAACCTGACCTCGTGAGTGTCTGGATCAGGTCTACAGCCCTGTCAGCCTTGCTTCAGGACCTTGTTTGGGGTAACAGAGGCAGTCTCTGGAATTCTAAAGTTACCCGACTGCCTCTTCTCCAGTTGTCTGAAGTGGTCTGGAGGCAGGACACCGCCCAGTAAGCTGCCTTTGTGAGGCCTCTGTCACTTACAGATTCTCAAAGTGAAGAGAGTGAGCATAGGAAATGGCAGGCGTGGTTTTTACTATGAGCATGGGCAGTGGAGTGACTTCTCCTCTTGGTTTGGCAGGAGGCATGGCACTCTGGCGCGCATACCAGAGAGCCCTGGCTGCACATCCGTGGAAGGTCCAGGTTCTGACAGCTGGTGAGTGTCTCTGGGACCAGGGTGTAACTAGAGTGGCTGATTTGAGGAGGAAGAGGCCCACATTATGGCACCCACTTCCTCCTATTTAGCCCCCTAGAGGAGCTGATTTTATCTCATCCCTAACTATTCTGGTTTCTGGGAGGGGGAGAGTGGACGAGGTCCTAAAGCTATTCCTATGGTATACACAGTGAGGCGCTAGAGAGATGACTCAGACTTGATTGGTACATACCTCCTTTGCAGAGGACCCAACACCTCTGTCAGGTGGCTCAGAGCCTCTTGTAACTCCAGCTCTGTCAGTCACCTCCAGCCGCTTGGGGCGCCGGCACTCACTCACACCCCCCCCACACACACACACACATAATTTACAATCATTTAAAAGTGATAACAATGTATCTAAAAAGAGATACATGATTCTGTCCAGGAAGTCTAAAAGTCCTCACAAACTTAAGTAGTCCTTTTTATTCATTCATTCATTCATTCATTTGTGTGTTTGTTTGTTTGTTTTTTCAAGACAAGGTTTCTCTGAGTAACCCTGGCTGTTCTGGAACTCTATAGACCTGACTGGCCTTCATTTTAGATTCACTTGCCTCTCCCTTTCAAGTACTGGGATTAGAGGGGTGTGCCACCACCACTACCTGACCTAAGTAGTCCATTCTTAAATCATCTCCCCCAGGAGACCACCCACCTTGGGAAGCTAAAGTTTTCCTCCTACATTTCATAGTGTGTCGAGCACATTAATGTACATGCATTGTGTCATAGGGGCCTCCAAAGGTCTGTTAGATTCCTTGATCCATGTTAGATCACACGCCTAACAAGTGCTGAAGTAACTTAACTATAGTTTATTTATTCTCAGCATTGTTTTACTGTGAAATCACAGAACAGTCACGTATCTGAAGTTTAAATATTAAAACTGAATGCTTCCGAGTCAGCACTCCGCTTTAGGACTCCTGGAGTCCCTCTCCTCAGTTTGTACATTCCACCTTGTTTGAGTTTTGTTTCAAGACAAGAGAAAAAAAAGACAAGAGTCACACCCTAGCCCAGGCTGACCTGGAATTCACCAGACTGACCTTGAACTGGCCTCCTAGTACTGAACTTCAAGTGTGAGCCATCACGACTGCCGACGACCACTGTCCAAGCTTGGCCTAGGTCATTGTTTTGCTTTTCTGATATCCGTGTGATCAGACAGTGTACTAACTGAGATCTTTTCACGCCACGTCCAGTGATGAAGTAGCAGCTGTTCCCACCTTCGTTTTGCTGGTTAGCTAGTACAAGGGACAGGACAGGGAAGCATCATCCGTCCTCTGACCATCAGAGTAGCGCAGTGGGGGAATGGAGTCATAAAGACGCCTTGCCTATGTTTAGACAAAGAACCCATATTCTAAGGAGAGCTGTGAACTTCTGAAAGGAAAGAGCAAGGCTAAAGGTCAGGGTAGAACAGTGGTCCTGTTGGCAGAATAAGCCCTACATGAACAGTAGAAACTACATTCACTGCGTGAGTGGTCAAAAGGTGGATCCCCTTACTCCTCCCTAGCCCCCTGATAGCATCCTGTGCCCAGCCACCTCTTGTCCTCAGTGTCCGGCCTGTATGACTCACCTGGCTGAGTGTGTGGTGACTCATGCTGGACTGTGTGGCTGTGATGGGAACTGACACGCTGGGCCCTTTGCCCAGCCTCAGATTCCCTCAGGGCCCCTGGCTTCCAGATAGAAGGTCCCCCTGTGGCCATCAAGAATGGAGAGGGAAGGACAGTCATGTTTCCCTGCCTAAATGCTCCCTCCATAGCTGGCAGAGGCAGGAACTGAAGAGGCGCAAGTGTAAAATTGGTGTTAGCTGGAGTGCCTGGTGTGTCTTGCTAGGCCCTTTCTGTGGTCCCATGTGTATGTTTCTCATACGTGGTCTCATATGTATGCAGTAGCATCTTTACGTGGTCCTGGAGCAACCTGCAGCCTCCTAGCATTTCCCTCAGACTTCCTTGCTGCTCAGGTTATTTGGACCAACCTGCAAGTAATGGGTGGGTGGACTTAGCTCACTAGCTCATCTTGGACTGTTTTCTGAGCACAGTGGCTGCAGAGGTCCCATGGGAGAGCTCACACGGCAACAGAACAGAAATCTCAGACTTGGAACTAGAAGGCCGAGATCTGAATCTCAGAGCATGGCACTTAGTAGCGGCCTAATTAGCCCACGTCAATAAAGTGCTTTGCGCCTCAGTTTCCTCAATTAGAACTTAAAGGTCAGTTACAGGAGTTATCTCTGAGAAGAAGCTAAGGAAGTGTTTTTATTTATCTACTCACAGTGCTAAAGATGGAAGCCACACTCTCACAGTCTCATGCTGGGCAACCACGCTCTCTCTAGACGATATGCTTATCCTTTTGTACCATCTACTTTTTAAATATTATTTAGTGTGTGCATGCGCACACATGGCTGACATGTGTGAAGTCAGTTCTCTCCTGAACTGACTGGAACTTTTTTAAAGGTTCGAGGACTTGACCCTTTCTATGATTGTTGGTAACCCATGTACAGCAGGTTCTTTTTTTTTAATTTATTTATTTTTATTTTATGTTCTTTGGTGTTTTGCCATGGGTGTCAGACCCCCTGAAACTGGAGTTAGAAACAGTTGTGAGCTGCCATGTTTGTGCTGGGAATTGAACCCGCTTCCTCTGGAAGAGCAGTCAGGGCTCATAACCACTGAGCCATCCCTCCAGCCCCAAGAGCTGTTATTTTCAATCAGAATTTCACTGTGTAGTCCAGGCTTGCCTTAAACTCACTGTCTAGCTCAGGATAGCCTCAAACTCTTCAGTCTTCCCACTTCAGCCTTTCGTGAGCCTTGGTCATAGACTTGTACCATGCCCAGTTTACAAATAAGTATCTTAGCCCTGGTTTTCCGAACAGCAGAAAGCTTATGGGCAGATTAGAAAGTGGTCCTTCCTGAGGGCAAGAGGGAGAGCAGGTGTGCCGGGCACATTGTTAAATCAGCTGCCCTTAGGACTTCTTGTGGCTCCGTACCTTGGAAGTGACCAAGGAGCAATTTGAAATGCCTTATCGGATGAAGTCATTTCTGGAGAAGAGGCCTTAATCCACCCTGCACTGGACAGCATTTCACCCCGGGGAATAGTTAACTCCTCTACTACCTTTTCACTCATGTGTAGTCCCCAAAGGCACTAACAGTGAGACCCTGGGTGTGGCAGGCCTGAAGGAAGCCTGTCTGTTTCAGCTGCAGTCATGACTAAAGCAGTAGGTGGATGCATCAAGATCTGCAATGGTTCAGCGGAAGTGGCTAATAGTCACGACCAGGGCAACCTGGGGGAAAGGTTGTCTGTGTTCTGCAGTCTGAGTCAGCTTCATCCCTTCCTTTCTGGAGGGCTCTTCCAGTCTGCAGTGGGCCCAGAGCCCAGGGCCCAGTTCCATCCATCGCAGGCCACCAGAACAGCTAAACTGTAGGCACTGATTTCCTTGGAACCTGAATTAAGCCAGAATGTGAGTCTTAGAAGCTTTGATACTGCAGAAAGGGAAACAGGCATAAGCAGGGTGTGACATGTGCTTAGGTGTCAACGCAGTTCTAGACCTGGCATTAGAATCTGGGCACTGCTACCTGTACTCCAGGTCTGTACTTGAGCTCCTGGAGCCTTGGGACATTGAGTGTCAGTCCAGCTGGGTTTAAGCATGAGAAGCTGTAGAGCTGGCCGTGTTGTCTCGTTTTCTTCAATAGGATTCTTGTGGACAGGAGTGAGCTGAGCACTTAGACCCATTCCAGGGACTATGCCTCCCTTCCTCAGTAGACCTTGAGCTGCCCCTGGGCCCTAGGCCAGGTCAAACTCCTGCACCAGCTAGCAGGCCCCTTAGTCAGCAGTACTGTTGGCTCTGTGCCAGGAATATCTTTACCTGCAGACCCCCACCTCACATATTTAAAAGCACACATCCCTGTCATTCCAGGAAGCCACTTCTGGTCCACCTGCATCTTCTCTTCTGTTAATACTTTATTTTCTTGTACATATGACCCTTTCCAAAAGCAAGTTGAGGAACGAAGGGAAGCAGGAGTCTTGGGAGAGGGTTGGGAAAGTTGGGGCTTTTCCACTGATGGGCAGGAAGGGGATGGTTTCAAATAGATCTGTGTTCAGAGCCAAACATCTCTCCCCCGCCCCGCCACCCCCTAGATCCAGTGGGGAGTGACGGATGAGACCTGGCATCTACCCAGAGGCATGATGTCATACTCAGAACCAGTGTCTACTCACTAGGCTCTGTGCCCAGCCTGGCTTTGGGGCACCACTGCCCAGCAACCTCTCACCCTGTCCCACCAGGGCTCTGGACATTATGTATTTGGAGGCTTCCAACTCTCAAATCCAAGAAGAGAGGAAGCAGATCCCTACACCATTGTTAACCACGTATTGGAGAGCTTTGGGGTCTGGGCTGGAGAAAATAGGATAAAGAACCTGAATGTTTGAGTCCTTCCTGTTGAAGGCTCACTTGGACCAGGAATGGAAGCCTTGCTCTTGGCATGGACCAAAGTCTTTGGCCATCCTGGAGTTGCTGCAGGTCCAGTGGTCATAAGCTCCTATGAACAGAAGACAAGCTTCAGGGCTCAGTTATGTCAGAAATGGACAGACCTGGGTGGGTCTGCAGTCCCTCTTCCCCTCATCACCTGGTTCTGTCTCAGGCTTGATGGACCTAGCCTCAAAGGTTTGGGCTAGAAATATGCTCACACAGTGTTCATATGTGCCAGCCTCGCTCCCCTGCTCTTAACATGTGCTGAAAAGGAATAACAGGTGCCATATACAACTGTCTGTGAGTCTGTGCAGGCCACATCCCCAAAGGAAGTTTATCAAAGCACCCTAAGCAATCAGGAACTACAGTCGCCACATACCATATAACAGATACACCTTAACTAAAGGGTTGAGTCCTTCCCCAACCACCTGCCGTCCAGGAGCAGACAGTCTAAGTATAGACACACATGAGCTACTAATCATCAATACACCATGGGCTCATCCCTACAAACAGACAAAAACCAATGAGAGGGGACTCTACTTACTCTCGTGGATACCAGAACACCGCAGGTAGGCCTTTTTCAATGGCTGAAGGCTTCCAGAACCATGGCATCGGGAAGTTGGTTTTCATGCGAGTTCTGCCTTTAGCTTGTATGACTACTGATAAGTCATGAGGAGAGAAAATATGCGCGTCTCTGTTTTCTAAGAATATTGCTGCCTGCCCTCCCTATGGGTAACAAGGAACAAAGGGGATTGTAGTCTGGGGAATAATACAGAAGTGCATGAGAACAAAGTAAGCTTTTTAGTGTTCTTAAATGTGTGTGCACCACGGCTTTGCCTAGTGCCCCCAGAGACCCGAAGAGGCCAGCAGATCTGTCTCCTGAAACTGGAATTAGAGATGGTTGTGAGATGCCATGTGAGTGCTGGGAACCCAGTCCGGGCTCTGCACGAACTCTAAGTGATAACTACCGAGTCATCTCTCCAGCCCCTTGTTTGTCTGTCTGTTTTCCTATTTTTTAAGTTTGGTTTTGCTTGAGACAAGGTCTCACCACCTAGCCCTCTCCGGCCTAGAACTCAGAATATAGACCAGGCTCTCTGAGTTTGAAACAATCCTTGGCCCCTGTCTCCTAAGAACTGAGATTACAGGCATGGGCATCATGCCTGCCCAGGAAATTTCTTTGATATGCGAGCCTTCTAGACATTACTTGGGTAGGAGCCTTTGGTAGCCCATGGCCTCTCAGCCTACCTCTGCCTGTGCTCTGGCCTTGCTCCCCTGGCTTAAGTTAATCCAAACTCTACACCCTACTCCGTCACTCCATGTTTCAGAGACTCCTTAGTTAGATGGACATACGGTTACCCACTTCCCAGACCTCTTGTGAGGATTGAGTCCTTTGTAGACTGTCACCATCTTGTCAAAATGGACTATTGTCCCTTCATTTTCCAAGTGCCTTCAGCCTCCTTGGGGTCATTTTTCCCTTTATACATAGTCCAGGAGAGAGTACTGAAGACAGCCTTGAGCACACAGCTGATGGCCACGCATTGGGAAGCGGTGGGGCTGAAGGAAGTCTAACTGCCTGGGACCAGGGAGCACACTCTGGGTTCCCTGACAGCCTAACACTTTGTACCTGACACAGTTCTTCAGGTTGAGCTTAGAGTTCTTTTTTGTCTTGTCTTGTTTTGTTTTGTTTTGTTTTGTTTTTCAAGACCAGGTTTCTCTGTAGCTTTGGAGCCTGTCCTGGAACTAGCTCTTGTAGACCAGGCTGGCCTCGAACTCACAGAGATCTACCTGCCTCAGCCTCCCAAGTGCTGGGATTAAACACATGCCCCACCACTGTCCAATGAGTTTAGAGTTCTTTGTGCCCCTCCCCCAAACAACCTCGTTGTAAGTTGTTTGACTATTTTCTGAACTCCTACTAGGGACATGGTTAGGTGTTGAGACTGACAAAAAAACATCTATAGGAATCTGTTCTGGCCAATTAACCCCTCCCCCAACCTCCAGGAATTCTGCCCGTGCCCTTGGGGAGGCCATGTCTCACTGTTTTGGGGAGATTCAGGGGAAAGAGGCAGTGTGGACTTGATGGGATGCTGAGGAAGAGCTGCCTGATGTCCAGTCGCCCAGGTCACCAAGGGTCACCCATCACCAGCTCTTGCTCCTACCTTCTCCAGCCGCCTCTGGCTAGGTTGGCCTGAGAGTGTGTGGGGGTAGAGCTGCAGCCAGCATGGACGTCAGAGCCAGCTCCAGACCAAGAAATGGGGTTGAAAGGTGTGTTTGCCCAGCTCTAATTGAGGGCATGTGAAGAGCGGTGGCTTCGGGGATAGAGGGGACTTTCATTACCCGATAAGATGGATGGGTGAGCTGGAGATCATGCGGTCACTCACACGTGGCCCCGTGACTGTTTGTTAGAAACCATCACGCCTTCATGACAAGCTCTAGGCTCTAAATAGTAATGATTCCAAATATGTCTTGGCTTCTAGGAGTGGGCAATCTATTCAGTTAGGGGAGGGGAAGCAGGTGCAGAGGTCTGAGGGGAAATGACCCCAATCCCTGTTGCCGAGGGGGAGTCTGGGCTTGTCTTCCGGTGTGTGTAATAGGTGACCAGGACTCTTCATTGTGAAGGAGGCTTTGATCATCCAAGCAAGGCAGCTGCTTTTCTGGCTCGGTTTGGGCACATTTTAGAAAGAGTTATTCATATTGTTATCTACCAGTAGAGACCCCTACGCCCAAAGCGAAAGACATTGGCTAGAGGCTAGCTTTGAGCTGGCAGGAAAGAGGCTGTTCCTTATTCTCTTGCACATAATCTGTAAGTATTTTGGGGTCCTCAAAAGAATAGCGTCTAGGAGTCAAGCTCTATTACCAACTCTATGAAATCGTGGACCTTCATTTCCATGCCTCTAGAATAAGTTTAAATGGAACGTTCTGGAAGGCCCTTTCAATTCTGGTCTCTACAGTTCTTAGCCACAGACTTTAGGTTTCCCTTCTTCTATCTGGGGTTTCAGCCCTGGTTCCCTTACAACTGTGTGTTCATAGATCCTGGCCTGCTCATCTCCTCTGCTTTTCTGACTCCCACTTCCCTCTCTCTTTCTCTGCCCCCCACTTCCTTCATGGTTTGTTTGTTTTAAGCTGTGGTCTCACTGTATACCCCTGATTGTCCTGGGACTCCCTATGTAGCCCAGGCTGGTCTCAAACTCAGCAGCCCTCCTTCCTCTGCCTCTTAAGTGCTGGGATGCCAGACATGCGTGTGCCACCACACTCCTCATCCAGGTTTTGATAGGACACATGAATGGTGTCACCATCCTCAAGAAGCAGAAGGGACTGGTCATTTGCCAGAACAAAGCCCCGGCCTCAGGGTGCCTAGCCTTGTTTGGTCAACAGACTTACCTTTTGGGAGATGTCCTGACAACACCTGTGTGCCCTGCACAGGGTCACTGATGGGCCTAGGTGACATTATCTCACAGCAGCTGGTGGAGAGGCGGGGTCTCCAGGAACACCAGACAGGCCGGACTCTGACCATGGTGTCCATGGGCTGTGGCTTTGTGGTAAGTTCTGCTTACGGTGGGACTGCAGTGCCTCGGGCAGTGGCATTCATTCTCTGCCACCCTGTAGTTCCCTTGGCCTCTCACACCTAGGCCAGCCTGTGCTCTCTTTTTGTCTTTGAGTTTGCCTTCCTCATGATTTGGTTTCTGGTGCCTTGGGGAGGAACTTTGTGATATAAGAGCCAAGGGTCTCTGTCACTGTGCCCTGCTGTCCTGTCTTTTACTCCTAGGGCCCTGTCGTCGGAGGCTGGTATAAGGTTTTAGACCGTCTTATCCCCGGCACCACCAAGGTGGATGCACTGAAGAAGATGTTGTTAGATCAGGTGAGCTGAGGAAAAGGGATCTGGGGAGAGCCTGGTTCTGGGCTCTCACAGCTTACCCTTGACTCCCCTTCCCCAGGGGGCCTTTGCCCCGTGTTTTCTAGGCTGTTTCCTCCCCCTGGTAGGAGTACTCAATGGAATGTCAGCCCAGGACAACTGGGCCAAACTACAGCGGGTAAGTAGCTCTCTGGCTAGCAGGCTAGCTGCCCCAAGGGAAGGAGGCAGGCACAAGCGTTGTGCAAGGAGAGTCTTGGGAGAAAAGGAGCCTAGGGGAGTTGGGGTGGGAGTGTCTTCCTGGAATAGAGTCTGTGTGTGATATTCATGCAGGGACAATATATGCGTGTTACCTGTTACCTCTGTCTTTGCAGGACTACCCTGATGCCCTCATCACTAACTACTATGTAAGAGCTGGCCCTCCGCTATCTGTTCTGCTTCCGTTAAACTAGAGCTTCTCTGAGACTGGGGCTCATCACATAGGAATCCCTCTGTTGGGATCAGTCTCCCACATACGTACCTTGTTCAGGGAGGCACCTACCTCCAGCCGTTCTTATGTGTGGTTTGTAGAGTGGCGCCAGGCTGGTGGTCAGGTAGCAGCACCCCCTGACCTTCACATTTTCTTCCTCTAGCTCTGGCCTGCTGTGCAGTTAGCCAACTTCTACCTGGTCCCCCTGCATTACAGGTATGACAGACCCCTCCCCAACCCTTGAAGGAAGACCCTCTGTTTCCCAGATGGAGACAAAATGAGAATCATCACAACCTTGACCTACTGTAGGTCTTCACGAGCACACTGTGTCCTGGTCAGGCCACCTCAGAGTCTCTAGTATTTCATTTGGAACCTTTGATCCTTTACAGAGATCATCTTAGAGTGCCCCTGGCTAACCTGTCAGCTCCCACAAACCTTTATCCACCCCTCCTGAGTTCCATGTTTGGTGGCTCATCTGCAGGGACAGTACCTGGCTGCGGTACACTGGTAGCCTAAATCAGACAAAAAGTCAGACTCAAATACTAAGGAGGAGCCTTATCTGGTTAGCCACCTCAGAGGATTATCTTGTTCTAGTAATAAAATTTGTTGCTGAACTGCATTATAAAAAAAAGGTGGGCGGTGGTGACACTTGGGAGGCAGAGGCAAGCGGATCTCTGCGAGTTCAAGGCCAGCCTGAACTACAGAGAGAGTGAGTTCTAGGGCAGCCAAGGTTACATAGGGAAAAAGAACCAAAATAATAATAATAATGATGTTGATAATGATCAAATAAAATAAAAAGTTCTGGAGAGATGGCTCAGTGATTAAAAGAACTTGCTGCGCTGGGCGGTGATGGCGCATGCCTTTAATCCCAGCACTTGGGAGGCAGAGGCAGGCGGATCTCTGTGAGTTCAAGACCAGCCTGGTCTACAAGAGCTAGTTCCAGGACAGGCTCCAAAACCACAGAGAAACCCTGTCTCGAAAAAGCAAAAAAAAAAAAAAAAAAAAAAAAAAACCAAAAACTTGCTGCTCTTTCAGAGGGCCCAAATTCAATTTTCAGCCCCCACATGGCTCTCAACTGTATGTAACACCAGTTTCAGAGGATTCTATTGTGGCCTCCGTGGGCACTGCATACACATACATGTAGACAAAATACCCATAAACATAAAAATAAGTAAATCTAAAATAAAAAATTAAGAGTGGCATTCAGAAGGGGCTGGAAAAGTGCTCCCAGATGAGGGATCTTGAGAACACAGGAAAGTATGAAACTGTGGTTGACAGCTACCAAATAGCTTAACTAAAAAGAATGAAGACTTGTGAGTCAAATCTTAACCATCAGAGTCTTTGGTAGCACTCTTCAGAACTAAAGCAAGGTCAGCCAGGGGCAGACCTTTAATCCCAGCACTAGGCCAGCCATAGTGTCCCATGCTGGTAACCCTAGCAATGGTGGAGGCAGGAAGAGTAGGCGTTGAGGGCCCTCCTGAGACACACTAGGTTCTGTCTCAAAAAAGCTTTTATTTTTATTTGTATATAATGTCTTGCCTTAATAAGTGTATGTGTACCCCATGTATGCCTGGTGCCCATGGAGGTCAGAGGAGAGTGTCAGATACTCTGCAACTGAATTTACAGACATGTGGGTGCCAAGAACTAAACCCAGGTCCTCTGCAAGAGCCATAAGTACTCTTGATCACTGAGCCATCTCCCCAGCCCCTCAAGAAAGTTTTAAGAATAAAAATATATTTAAATAGATAAGATAACATAAATTAAAAAGTACAAATTTTAAGATTCTTATTTATTTTTTTAAGATTTTAAAAGTTTTTTACTGGGATGGTACGTGCCTTTAGTCTCAGCATACAGAAATAAAGACAGTTGCATCTCCATGAGTTCAAGGCCAACCTGATTTGTATAGTGAGTTTCCAGGCTATCCAAGGCTACACAGTGGGAACTTTATCAAATCGAATAAACAAAAAAAAAACTTCTTTATGTGTGTGGATGTACAGACATCAGAAAATGGCATCAGATTCCCTGGAACTGAAGTTATAGACCATTGTGAGCTGTCAGTTGTGGGTGTTGGAAACCAGACTTGGGTCTTCTGCAAAAGGCCAGGCATGAGGCTCAGTGGTTAAGAGTACTAACTGCTATTCCAGAGGACTGAGGTTCAGTTCCCAGCACCTACATGGCAGCTCACAATTGTCTCTAACTCCAAGATCTGACACTGCCACATAGACATACATGCAGACAAACACCAATGAACATGGGGCGGGGAGGGGGACCATGCATACTTACTATTGGAACACTAAAGAGTCAAAGGAGGCACCGGGCAGTGGTGGCGCACGCCTTTAATCCCAGCACTTGGGAGGCAGAGGCAGGCGGATCTCTGTGAGTTCTAGGCCAGCCTGGTCTACAAGAGCTAGTGCCAGGACAGGCTCCAAAGCTACAGAGAAACCCTGTCTCCAAAAACTAAAAACTAAAAAAAAAAAAAAAAAAGAGTCAAAGGAGTAGCCGGGCAGTGGTGGTGCGTGGTGCACACCCTTAATCCCAGCACTGGGGAGGCAGAGGCAGTCAGTTCAAGGCCAGCCTGGTTTACAAGAGCAAGTTCTAGGACAGGCACCAAAGCTACAGAGAAACCTTATCTTGAAAAAACCAAAACAAAATAAAACAAAAGAGTCAAAGGAGTTTAACACTGTCTTTGGTGACATAGTGTCTACAAGAATTCAAGACAACCTAGACTATATGAGAGCCTGAGAATGAGTAAAAAAATCATATATATATATAATTATTATGATATGATATATATAATATGATTATATATATAATGGTTACTTTATATGACAGGCAGTGCATTATTTTTGGAAATGAAATCTTGGCTGGTATAAGGTGTACAGATATATTTGGAAAGGTCTAGCTAGAGGCATGGATGACGAGTCATTTGTTGAAAGAAAGCTGCTGGTGGGCTGGTGAGATGACTCAGTGGGTAAGAGCCCTTGCTGCCAAACCTGATGACCTGAGTTCGTTCCTTGGAGCCCACATGGTGCAAGAAGAGGAACCCATTCCCAAAGTTGTTGCCTGAATTCCATGTGCATGCACGTGCACACATGCTAACCCTAATGAGTAAAGGAGTGAGCTGTGGGGTTATTCAGGCTTTGAGGCTTCATCTGAGAGGCAGAGCTCTGAGGTAGAGCACGGTTGGTTGTCCCCTGGTCCAAACCATGCAGTCCCTCCTCCATGGAGCTCTAAGGAAGGAGGTCCAAACCCGCAACTTGTAAGCCCTTGACCATCACTCTCCCCCTACCTTGCTCATTCTCCTCTTCACGGTATATTGCTATCCCCTAGGTTGGCTGTCGTCCAGTGTGTTGCTGTTGTCTGGAACTCTTACCTATCCTGGAAGGCACATCAGCTCTAAGCCTGCCTGCTTCCGTGGCTTACACCTTGCACTGATGCATCTTCACCCTGGAATGCTTGGACATGGTCCTCACAGAGAGCACATCAGGACTGGCGGGTGGCTCAGCTGCTAACTAAGAACACGGACTGCTCTACACAGGGCCAAGTTTGGTTCCCAACAGCCATATCAGGTGGCTCACAACCACCTCAAGCTCCAGGAGATCCGTGTCTTCTGGCCTCTCGGGCACCTGCACTCACACGCACGTACGCATGAATGAAGACTTACTCATAATAAAGCATAAAATAAAGTCTTTCTTAAAAAGAGAGTCTCTCAGTTCCACAGTACGGAGGTGCTGATCAGGATGGTATTACCACTTGGAAACAGCGCATTTCACTCTAAAGATGTAACTGCTTGTGAAATCACTAAGACCTCTACAACATCGTCTGTCACTCTGGCACTTACTGATGGGCGATGTGAGAAGCATGTCCTTGTGTACACATCATAGAATATACTTAAACCGATAACAACAGACAGATGCTTAGCATGGGCTCTGAATGCAGTGAGGTGTGTTCTCCTGCTGCCAGTACACATGGTATACGGTTTTACGGGGGGCTTTTTTTCATATGTAGTACATCCTAAAGTAATGATAAATATAGCAAATTCACAAACCAGTGACATTGTCATTTATCGTTAAGTTGTACATGCTGTACATAATTGCCCAAGCTGTCCTTCCATGTTACTGACAACATAGTATGTTTCCATCAGCATCATCACACGGACGTGAATAATGAGTTGAACTACGCATTATGACAGCTAATGTTGCTCGGTGGCAGGAATGTTTCGGCTCTGTTGTCGTTATATGAAGCCACCATGGTACAAGTTGTCACCATTGACTAAAAGATCATTATGCAGCATGACTTCTCTTATTCCTACCACACAGTATATATCCCACAAATGCTTGTAGAATAACCTTGCCAACTTTACACCCGTGTCCCAACAATTAATACCCATCCTTCAAAAAAAAATACTCATCCCCCTCTTTGTTTGTTTCTTGAGACAACGTTTCACTGTGTAATCCTGATTGTCCTGGAACCTCCTCTGTAGACCAGGCTGGTCTCTAAATCACAGAGATCCAGCTGTCCCTGCCTCCTGAGTGCTGGGATTAAAAGTGTTCACCACCACTGCCAGCTCATCCACACTTCTAAAGATACATCTTCCTATCCAGTGTTCAAGGTTGAACTCAGCCTTGTGTATACTAATCAAGTGCTCTAACACTGAGCTACGTCCCTAACCTAGAACATCTTCACTCTAACTTTCCTGGGTCCCAGTGCCCCTTCAGACCCTCTTGGTGTCTTTATGGGTATATAAATAAATGCATTATTATCTGGAGTCTGCAGCAGTCGTGGATAAAACCCTTTAGGAGACTACCAACGTGTAGTCTATAACTGGGAAGAAGTGGAGGCTATTCAAGCCTGGCCTTGATTTACAAAGACAGCAGCACCACCAGAAGAGAGGAAGCTGATTGCACCACGAACTGATGGCAGAGCAGGAACTCCAGCCCAAGTTTCCTCACTTCCTGTTTGGTGACCTTAACTAGAAGGCAAAATGGTGTACTAGTACTGTTTCTGTGATTTCCAGGGGAAAGAGCTAACCTTGTCAAACTCAGGACAGACTGGTGCGTTAAGCTCTGAAAGCCAAACACCTTTTTACGTCATACACAATCTGACACCTGTAGATTTTAGATTCTGCCGCTGTAAGATGGTCAAGAATCCTGACAGACCAGTTGGGCCAGCGGGCCTTTGGATGGGACTATGTGATCTTACTTTAGGGACTAGACAGCCAGGCTAGGTCCTGTGTCTAAGCAACACAGGACACCCCTCAGAACTTCTGGCCCGATTCTTGGCTGCGGACAAATTCAGGACCACGGTCAGCTCTACGGTCCTGTCCCCCTTCTTGGTCCTGGAGAAGAAAAAAAAACTGGACTACTCTGTTCTGGAGACACACTCTGACTATTCTGTGTGGGGCAAGAACTCTACATCCGGAAAGAGCAATCTTTATGCCTCAGCCAGCTTCTCCATCCTCTACAGCCAAGGTGCTTCCAAAGCTGGCTCCAGGGCCAGGATGCGCGCCCCTCTGTGGGCTTGAAGCTGCTGGACTCGAAGCTGCCTCTGTCATTGCTTCTACAATCAGTTCATGTTCTTCGCTGACGTCAGTCGGAGCTGTCCTGGTGCTATATAAGGCTGGCGACGGTCCCGGGACAGACCCCGTGCTCCCCAAGGCGTCTTCAGCCCGTCCCGGGGGACAGAGACTGGAGCTCCATCTTGCACCGGGCAAACACTCCGACAACCTGTGAGTGGCTCGGAGCAACGATCCAGACTCCTTTAGCACCAAGACTCTGCACTCAGCCCACCCACTGCGACCCACCGGGAGGGAAGGAGGGAGAGGAGGGTGGAACTGGACTGGCTCAGCGGCTGGGGCTGATGGGCAGGCTTGTGGACACCAGGCAACAGCCGGAGGGTCCCGGCGGGGGCACTGGGCGTGCGCGAGAAGGGGCTCGTGTCACCTGCGGCGGCTCCAAGCGCACCTCACCCTATGCTGCCCCTGTGTGTTCAGGGCAGGCGGCACCATGAGGCAGAGGGGACGCGCTGCACTCCTAGTGGCACTGCTGCTCCTGGCACAGCTGCGCCCCGGGAGCAGTCAGTGGAGCCCGGTGACTGCGGCAGCGACCGAGGTCCAGGATCCGAATCTGCGATGGAGTCCTGGGACACGGAATCAGGGCGGCGGCGCCCGCGCGCTCCTATTGCTGTTAGCTGAGCGCTTCCCGCGCCGCACGGGATCGGGGACGCCAGGCGGCGAGCGGCAGCGACGGGACGACCCTCCGCTGTCCATCGACCTCACCTTCCACCTGCTGCGGACCCTGCTGGAGCTGGCCCGGACACAGAGCCAGCGCGAGCGCGCAGAGCAGAACCGCATCATACTCCATTCGGTGGGCAAGTGATCCGCCTGGTGTGGGGCCCCCCGAAAGGCTCGACCCTTTCCCCTACATACCCCGGGGCTGGAGCTCGCGCGACCGAAGCTGGCTCAGTCCCGCGGTGCAGCGCCACCCAGAGTCACCCTGAGCACTCCGCGTGGCTATTTTTTAATAAAACTGCCCAAGAGTTTAGCCTCTATCTTCTGTCGTGGGGGGCACTGGCAACTAAGGAAGGGTGGAAACTTTTGGGGGAGTGGGGCTCCCAGGCCAGTAGGAGATACAAGCATGCTAAGTGGGGTGGGAAAGGTAGGCTATCAGTTAAGCCCCTGGGGGCTCATGGCCCCTTCCCCCGCCCATCCAAATCTGGGAACTCAGAGGTCCTGAGACCCACCCCAGACACCTTTTCGAGGTCTCGGGCTTAGGACTCCATCTCTGGTGTAAAGGAGTTGCCCACGAGGGGGTTATTATTTCACCTCCACCCCTTCAAATCGTCTCAGGGCGGCGGCGGGGGGCAGACTGATGGCGAGGTTGCTTCTACAGCCGAGACTAGGAGTGGGCAGCGAAAAGAGCCAAGGACGTGAGACGCAAGAGTCCTTTATTGAGACCCTTCGGGGGGTGGAACGCCGAGCTGGGAGGCGCGGTGGTCTCTGCGCAGATCCTCAGCATCCCTTGCCTCCCGCTACAGATGCGCGCTCTGGATCAGGGTCTGATCAGTGTAGGCCTGTATCCGGAAAAGACAGCTTGGTGGGCGGGGATCTAAAAGAACAAACTCCCCACCCTCCGACAGCCAGCTTTCCTCAGGTAGCTGGGTTTTACTCGCGGACCCACCATGGTCCCCAAAAACTGTGCGGAACCAACCGTGGGAACAGAGTGCGCTTTTCCGCGCGCGCTAGGGGGCGCGCTTTGCGGCTCCTATTGAGTGACACCGGAGAGAGTGTCACTGGTGCCGGAGAGCGTCCTGGTGCCGCTAGGAAGGCAATCGCCCGAGACTAACCACTCCTCACCCCAAAGCCCTCGTCCTACTCTCTCACCTTCTGGCCCGTCCAGCCGCTCCTCCTCCAGCCCTGCGTTGCTCTCGTCCCCGTCTAAAGCCACCTCGTCATCCTCTTCATCCCCTGCGGCGCCTAGGTGGAAGGCAGGGCTGGTGATGTGGAGCCCCTGCTTTCCTGGTTGGAGCGCCCACCTCATACCCTTACGGCGGGTCTAAACTCCCTCAGCTCCCTCACCCGGCTGGAAGTCGATGGTCCGCAGCATTTCGGCCACGTGCTCCACGCTCACAGAGAATTGTTCCATGCTCTCATAGCCTGGCTCCGGCCGTCCTGCCAGCTCCACCTTCGACATTGCCCCGACCCTGTGATGGCCACAGGGCTCAGCAGAGGGACTCCTCCACTTCCTCAAGCCCCTCCCCAGATTAGATGGAAGGAAGCCATAGGGTCCCTTCCTTTCCCACCGCGCAGACCACTCACTTGTTGATCAGCTCCTTGGCCTGCTGCAGGGGAGAAAAGGAGGGCGAAGGTGAGCGCTGCGCCAGCAGCCCCGGCAAAGCCCCATTTCTGATTCTCACCAGTCCTGCGGGGTAGGTAGGGGCGTACATCCCAATTCGTTAAGGAGAGAGAGAGAGAGCGCGCGCGTGTAGAAGGGTGACTTTTCCCAGGTCGTGGTGACAAGAAATTACCGCAGGTAAGACTTGACCCGGCTACCCAGGCCCTGATTCCCGCCACCCTGGGAGCCTGCCTCCCTCCCTCTCCGCCCACCTGGAGGTAGAGAGCCATCTGCGGCTCCTCCATGGATTGGATGGCGGTCTCCACCAGCTTAGAGGAAACCTCCAAGTGGTCTCCATACTGACGGATGAGGCCTCGCACGCGCTGCAGCTTCTCCTCCTGCTCCTGGGCCAGCGCTTGCAGTAGCTCGCCCTTGCGCTCCTCCAGCACCGCGCACAGGGTCTCAAACCTCTGGTTTAACAGTTGCTTCTGCCTGCGACTGTTGTCCTGAAAGATTAGAACAAGCCTGAAGGAGGTCGCGGATGGCAGGGCATTTTATCCCTCTCCATCCCTTAAACAGAACTCTAGGAAAGTCCAGAAGGAAGGTGTGACTTCCTCCCATGCACAGAATCCAGCTCAGATCTTTTCAATTAACAATGACGACAACATATTTCAAAGCTATTTCTGGGAGCCATGTATGTCACTGGCCCTGGCTTGGCTTTTCATTAATTGCCACTTACTTCATAAAGGAAATAAAATGAGTTACTATCAGCATTATTTTAAAAGACTATTTGAGTTTTATATTTTTAATTTTTTGCTCTGCTATGAAATTAAGCTCTATTTTTAAATACAGACATTGGTTAGAGAGCTGGAGAGGTAGCTCCAGCTGTTAGTGTTTCTGCTCTTGCAGAGGTCCTGAGTTCTGTTCCTATAGCCATGCCAGAAGGTTCACAGCTACCTGTAACCCCAAGAGATCCAACAAGCTCTTCTGGCCTCTGCGGGCACTAACAGTCATGTGCACATGCCTGTACACACACAAATACACATAATTGAAAAGAAAACAAGGAATCTAAATTTCTAAAATTCATTGACTGGAAATACTGTCTCAATATTCAAATATATTTAGTTAATATGATATAATAAGGGCATATAATTATTTCTCACCACATAATTTTTAATTAAATGTATTCATTGACAATATCATATATATATGTGTGTATATAATCTGTGTGTATATAATCTGATTACTCTCACCTCCCAGCCTCTTTTATCTTTTAATATTTATTTTGCTTATTTATTTCCACAATTTTAGTTGTATTATTTTCTCTTTTTTTTAAATATTTATTCTATTTATTTATTATGTATACAATATTCTGTCTGTGTGTATGCCTGCAGGCCAGAAGAGGGCACCAGACCTCTTTACAGATGGTTGTGAGCCACCATGTGGTTGCCGGGAATTGAACTCAGGACCTTTGGAAGAGCAGGCAATGCTCTTAACCACTGAGCCATCTCTCCAGCCCTAGTTGTATTATTTTCAATTAAGTATATGTGCGTGGTGTGTGGGTGCCCATGGAGGCCAGAGGAATTGAATTCCCCTGGAGCTGAGTTACAGGCAGTTTTGAGACCTGCAGTGTGGGTGCTGGGAACTGAACTCTGGTTCTCTGCAATGGCAGTTCTTTCTCTTAACCCCTGGGCCATCTCTCCAGCCCCACTCACTTATTTTTGGTATGGGTCAAGTGGGCCATTGATGAGAAATCCTCCTGCCTCAGCCTCAGGGTACTGTCATTATTGTCTTGGGCTACTACGCCCTGCGTGCTTGCTTATTTATTTATTGTTTATTTATTTATAGCTAGGATCTCCATAAGTCATCCAGGCTGGCCTGAAACTTGTGCTTATTCTACCTCCACCCCTCGGACTAAGGACTATTCTGTCCCCTTTGTCCTCCCAGCCCAGGCTCACCTCAATGGTCTGGCACACCTCCTCCATCTGCGTGATCACTGCTTGCACGCGGTCATTGCCTGCCACCAGCATCGCGATGCCATCGCTCAGCTCGCTCTGTCACACACATGGGCCAGCTCTTAGAGCTGGAAGCTCTCTCCAGCAGCTGCTTCCCTCTTATCCCACGGGACTGTCCCCACCTCACCCATTCAAGGACATCTACAAAGATCTAGAAGTTTGGGAGCACGTTCTGTGGGTTCTAGAAGTCCCCCACCCCCAAATGTGAAGACACGTGACATTCTCTAATCACCTACTATATACCAGACTGTCCTAGGTGCTTTATCAGTAGCCATTAATTCTGAAAAATACTTAGGGCTACCCATTCAATTAACACTGCCTCCCTTCTATTCCTGCTATTCTGTGAGTCAGGTAGGATCACGTTAGACATATTCATCTTTGACCTCCCAGAGCATTCTGGGTTGGTGTGCTGTTTGCACTCTTCTCATGCAGTAATTCTTCTGAGAAATCCATCACCTGATCCATTCACTGGTTTTTCAAGAGTTGTTGATTTCTAAAGACTCTACTTTGTTCCTTGTCAAATCTATTTTCCTGTCTGTTTTTGGTTTGTTTTCTTGGATTGGACCTTTCTATATTGTCTAAACTGGCTTTGAATTTATGATCCTCTAGCCCCAGCCTCCCTAGTAGCTGGGGTTACAGTGTACACCACAACAGGCTGTTGTATGGTCATTTTACATGTTTTCAGTTCTGGAAATCTATCCAAGATTTTGTGCTAGACAAGATTTTGTTCATCTCCAATCCTACTTTTTGCTGTTATCTTATTTTATCTTTATTTTTCTTTAACAACAGGGTCTCCTTATATAGTCCAGGCTGGCTTGAAACTCCTTATGTAGCTTAGGCTGGCCTCATACTAGAGATCCTCCTGCATCCGTATCCTAAGTGCTGTAACTGCAGTGCTCAACCATGCCTGGCATTATTCCACCTTCTAAAAACATTGTGTGCACAGTGGATTTCAATAATTCCAGCATCTGAATTCCCCAAGTATTGCAGCCCGAGATGCCAGCTCCCAGGACCTCACCCAGGGCTGCAGAAAGAATGCCTTCAGAGTAGTGGGGCATAGAGAAAATTCCTATCCATCTGAGGGTCTTAGGGAAGGATTTACACATTCTGATGGTAATTTAAGAAAAAAGGAAGAAGCACAGACTCTCCTGAGGGTAACTTTCTCTTTTACTTCATCTTGAATAATCGCTTTCTTGACACTCTCTACAGAGTTATATCTCTTTACATACAGCTACATCTCGTTCTTCACATATCCCTCTTCTATACACACTTCTCTCTACTCTGACATTTCTTCACACGCTGCTACATTTCTCCTTTATATCTCTCACTCACACTATTCTGAATCACACACACCTCCACTCTCTCACACACTCACACAAACCATTCACACACTCACACACACACACTCACACACTCACACACTCATTCACACACTCACACAAACCATTCACACACTCACACACACTCACACACTCACACACTCATTCATACACTCACACACTTACACACACCTCCACTCTCACACACACTCACACACTCATTCACACACTTACACACACCTCCACTCTCACACACACTCACACAAACCATTCACACACTCACACACTTACACACATCTCCACTCTCACACACAAACACACTC